AGAACTGTGTGTATATCTACAGTTTTGATCAGTGGTGTAATATGTATTAATGGGTGGTGAAAAGAAGAAATTTAAAGATTTTAAAGATTTTATTCAACCATAACATTCTTTGATAAGGTTATCTATTGATAGAGCCATCTGCTTAAAAACCGAGCAGTACATTTACATTTTCGTTTTGTTGATAGAATAATTCAAAATAAAGCTTCCCTTCAATTTAAGCCATTGGTATAGGTCTGGTTTCAGAGGTCTTCACCTTCTGGTTTCTGCTTGGAATAAATGTATAAAAGGTTTCCTTTTCATAATATAAAACGAATCACTTTGGACTCACAGAATATAAACAGTGCAATGTGAAAAGTCGGTTAAAATCAGTGCAACCTCCTTGATATTCTAATTATCACTTTCTAGTTGAATTATACCATTAAGATGAAGTTAAACCTTTTTTTTTTATTGAGGCGTATTTCATTCATAAATCTCCTTGACATGTGTTTTTTATGTTTATAATCAGTGAATTTTTTACCATGTCATTAGGACAATTTACACCCACACTGTGCGGTGACAGATCAATATTCTATAAAACCACCAAGTCAACCGATTATTACATTCCTTCTAATATCTTCATCCTTTCAGTGTTCAAATCAGTTATGTGTGATCTAGGCATGTGACATATTTTGATGTAATTTCTGGCAACTTTAATATATTTTTGGGGACAGTCTGTCATAAAATTAGGCTTAGCTGTTTATAAATTGAAAAAAAATCAATGAAATTGTACACTGGTTGATAAAAGTACATTGATTATCGTAATGCATCTGTTACCGTGATAAATCTTGGTCAATGACCTACGACATGAAATAATTAAGATTTTTATGAATTACAGGTTTTATTGCAAAACACAATGAACCTTTGTATCCCCTGTTTAATGAATAAGAAGAGTCCCATTGCGGTCATGATGGTATCTAGTTATATAAAGCATGCGAGACACAATTGTTAAACTTTTATAAGATCAGCTAGCTGTCTCAAAGATGTTCAAAACCTTTAGTGCAGTATTTTCTCTTTTAATCAAACAAATTTTGAAAGTTTTCTGACAATATATCCTGTATTTGTCTGATATTTTCTGAAAGACGATACTGGTTTGTTGGTAGGATAATGAACTCAAGTGCGAGACGCTGTTGGTCAGCCAGGTCAAGGATTTGTAAAGTAAGATTCTTTCTATACAAATCCTTGGCCAGGTCAAACCAAAGATTATCCTCACCCCCAAAAAATGTATTTTATGCTTCTAATAAAGGTATCGACAAATATGCCTACCCATTTCAGAATGAACAGAGAATAAACATGAATTATGTCATGCCAGGGCCTTTTATAGCTTACTATAAGGTAGGGTTTTGCTCATTGTTGAAGACTGTACAGTGCCCTAATACAACCTCTTCCTTTGGTCTCTAGCAAAAAATGTCTCATTTGCAATCATAATACATCTCTTTATTTATATAGAACATGACACGGAAGATTTATTTCATAATTATCAAATATTAGGTCATCTATATTTGGATCATATATATGTCATAATAGTTTGACAGGAATCAATTGATTCACATTCAAATATGTTTATTCAGGCCCTTATATAAGTTTCTAAATTCTGTTCTTGTACCTTGTACCCATTTTCTAATTATTGTTGAGTGATATATATATACAGCTTAAAATCCATGCTCTGGTATTCTGGTAACTGTAATTTGACTGTTGGTTCAAAATATTTTGTAAGCAATAATTGTAATGCAGACATAATAAAGACATTTCTTTATCATTTATCTTTCATACTCATACATTCTTCTTATTGTTATATGAAAGATTTGTGAAGTACAATTTTTATATGTCGGCAAAAATTTTGCAGTCGTATATTGTTATCATGTTGTCGTCGTCCGAAGACATTTGGTTTCCAGACTATAACTTTAGTATTAATAAATAGAAATCTATGAAATTTAAACATAAGGTTTATAACCACAAAAGGAAGGTGGGGATTGATTTTGGGGGTTATGGTCCCAACAGTTTAGGAATTAGGAGCCAAAAAGGGGCCCAAATAAGGACGCCTCCGGGTGCGGAAATTTCTCGCTGCATTGAAGACCTGTTGGTGACCTTCTGCTGTTGTCTGTTCTATGGTTGGGTTGTTGTCTCTTTGACACATTCCCCATTTCCATTCTCAATTTTATTTTTATAGTTTCATGACAATAACTTGTGTTCAAGTGTATGGATCTCTCTGAAATTGTACTGCAAGGTACCATACCACAAAGGGAAGGCTGGGATTGAGTTTGGGGGTGATGAATCATAAGGGGGTTCAAAAAATTGGGGGGGGGGGGGGATTTTTTTTTTCTTTAAAATTTTCCATTTTAAGTTGGTTATTTCTGATTTATATATAAAAGCAAATAATAATGATATGGTTTGAATAGGTAAATTAAAAATTTTTAAGTTCTTAGACCACATTCATTCTGTGTCAGAAACCTATGCTGTATCAAATATTTAATCACAATCCAAATTCAGAGCTGTATCAACTTATCAAGCTTGAATGTTGTGTCCATACTTGCCCCAACTGTTCAGGGTTCTATCTCTGCGGTCAAATCAAGCGGCGCCCAGCGGAGCATTTTATTAGAAGTTACCATTTTTATGATTTTAAAAATGCTGAATAAGGTGAATCAATTTTAGCTATGATTATGTATGTCATTTTCTATTTTAAGACTTTTATGGTGTCTTTAAATGGGTTATTATGGTTGCAAACTCCATTGGAAATTTGAATTGAAATTATGACCATGACTGAGGGAAAGAATTTTTTTTTGGAAAAAAGGGGGGGGGGGTAAAAAAAATAATGGTGGTGGGGGTGGGGGGAACAATTTTTTCTCCTCAAGATTTCAGGAATCCAAAAGAAAATCCTTCAAATTTATTTTTTTTTTGAAAAAAAGGGGGGGGGGGGGGGTCAGCAACAGCAAAGTGTATTGCACGAAAGCAAAAGATTGAATATAAATTGAAATCATGTAACCAATTCTAAGTTCTTTGATTACAGTTATTCTGTGTCAGAAACCTATTATGTGTCAAATATTTAATTACAATCCAAATTCAGACCTGTATGAAGCTTGAATATTGTGTCCATTTTTGCCCTAACTGTTCAGGGTTGGACCTCTGCGGTCGTATCAAGCTGCGCTCTTGGAAGCAATTTATTTTTTTTTTGTTGTGAAAGATCATAGCTGTTACATGTATATTTCCTCGGTGGGCTTAATTTGGAAATATAATGTATTGTATTGTTCTGATTGAGGGTATTCAATTAAAAGCACATTTGCAGTCTTCAACCCAGCTGTATGCACTTAACAGCTCTTAGCAACAACTCCTTAAAAAATCCAACCTGTCTTCTTGTAATGCTAATTTTTAAACCACCCAATTAGGTCTTGTGCTCCTTTAAAATTCTAAAATACTTGCTCTCTATCTCCCCAAAAATCAACCCAATTTTCAGATTCTTATATAGAATATATTCTTCTGGTCTTGAATATGTGTGAAAAATATAATTCCCTGTAGGAGTTAAAAACTCAACAATTAATTAAACATTCCTGTTTACATTTTATGTAGCTTTCTGGTTTTCACTCAACATATTTATAAATATATAATTAACGAATTGAAATTACCTGCATTCCTTTTATAAGTTTGTCTCAACAAAGTGTTGAAGAACTGTTAGAGTACCCTTGGCATCCATGTTGCTGTAATTTCCTTTAAGTAATAGGACAATCTTATTGTGTGTAACTATTTATTTTGGGAGTAGGTCAACATGCAGGCAAAAGTAGGTTGCTGTGTTGTAAATTATAGGCTTCATACAAAGAATGAGGGAGATGATACCAACTGGGCAATCATTAACCATAATATAGACTTCATTCAAGTTTGATTTATTTGTATGTTGGAATTCATGTTTAGTTAGTAGTACTAGTAGGATCATCAAAATGTTTGTTCCTATTATTTTGGGAGTAGTTTAGCATCAGTGAGGTAAAAAAAGTCACTGTGACCTATATTTCATACTTAGCTATACTGAGTTGGTATCAATAATACAAGCAGTTGGATTGCTTAATTTTGTTTAAAGATGTATCTTTTGAAGTAATTTCATTCTTAATTGACCTTGGTTGAATCCTGGTTTGTATCTATATATGTCAGATGATCACCTAAACAAGTTTTTTCCAGTTATAAAATCAGTAATGTGCTATATTCACTGTAGTGTTATGCTCAGTGGTGATCAAAGATAGTCCTACAACATGTGGAAGTTCAAAACTTAATCAATCAAATATATCTGAAAACTGGTAGTGTATAGCCCAGTATATACCATAATATCACTGCTTATGTCTAATGACTGCATTGAAAGGGATATTATGAAAACCTTTGATAGATACTTTGAATGCATGCTTAAATTGTACAGCAGATCACAGTCTCACTAGCATGTTATCCTACAGAAACACATCTGTCAGCCTATACCATACATCTTTCTTATACCTAGTTATTGAATGTCAGTATTTGTAGTAAAGTCTGACAATAAATTCGAACAGAACATGGCATTAAATATACCGCAATGACTTCCTACATAGGCCAAAATGACTGCAAATGCCAAGTGTAATATTTTCTCAAAAGCCCTTTGCTTGATAGAATGAAATAAAGTACATGTAGCAAAGAAGACACTTTCTGTAGCTCAGGCTATCACTGCAATAAAAGGACCAATAACTTATTGATTAAAAATGTTGATTATCCAGTGTGAATTCATAGATTATAAGATGTTTAACACCCAGTCCTCTAAGTGTGAAGTGAAGAAATATGAATAGATGTGTTAAGTTAAGACATGTGAATCAATGTCAGAAAAAATAGATTTTAGCATTTTTATTGTTAATTAGAATTTGTATGGATAATTATATATGAAAGAATATAAATGGAGTCAATGAAAAAATCTTCATAGGTACTTGCAAAGATAATCATAATGCTTGTTTGTTTTGTAGAACAAATTCCGATTCTGCCATACATACCAGTACAATGGGGCCTTCAGACTTGGACCATATGGGCAGCCCTACAACACCTCCAGCTCATAGAAGAAGTATGTAAATTATAATATTAGGCTTCTAGCTAGTATTCCTAGATCATTAAAAGTTGGAATTATTGTAATCGAGGTGGTGCGTTTTGTTACCTCTAGCCACAACAACCAAACAAACTAACCTCCTACTCACTTGTTGACATACCATATCATTTAAATATTCATATCAATCTTCTGTCACACTTTTATAAATGTACTGCTTATCCAAATTTTTACACAATATTATTGACAATAAATTAAAAGGTTGTGAGTTCAAACCCCCCTATAGCTAGTGGCAGGTACATTCAACTAATTTAATTGATGAGGATTGTCTAGTTTTCCTGCGGAAGGTTGGTGCTTCTTTCCAGGTACTCGGGCTTCCATCAATAACAACTGACCACCACAATATAGCCTAGAGTAAAATGGTGTTAATTACCAACAATCGGTCATTTTAATCAAGACTGATTGAAAATAACGCCCTTCATAATTGTTTTTTTTATACGACCGCAAAAAAATTTTGGGGTCGTATATTGCTATCACGTCGTCGGCTTGGTCCAAAGACAGTTGGTTTCTGGACAATAACTTTAGTTTAAGTGTATGGATCTCTATGAAATTTAAGCAAAAGGTTCAGTACCACAAAAGGAAGATTGGGAATGTTTTTAGGGGTGATGGTCCCAACCGTTTAGGAATTAGGGGCCAAAAAGGGGCCCAAAACAAGCATTTTTCTAGTTTCAGGACAATAACTTGTGTATAAGTATTTTGATTGCTCTGAAATTGTACCACAATGTTCAATACCACGAGTAGAAGGTTAGGATTCATTTTGGGGGAAATTGCCCAAACCGTTCAGGAATTAGGGGCCAAAACAAGCATTTTTCTAATTTTCAGACAATTACTTGTGTTTAAGTGTATGGATGTCTCTTAAATTGTACCACATTTTACAAAAAGAAAATTTCTTCAAATGTTATTAAAGGGGGGGGAGGGGGTAAAAACAATTTTTTTGGGGGTCAATTTTTTTTTCCTCAAGATTTAAGAAATTGTCAATTTTCCAAAGAAAAAATTTTGGGTCACAATTTTTTTGCTAATTCTTTGTATATAGTCTGAAAACAGATTTACTAAGTATTGCGCAACAGCACAGTGTATTGCACAACAGCAAGAAATCTTCAATTGAATATAAACTCAAATCATATAACCAATTTCAAGTTCTTTGACTACATTTATTCTGTGTCAGAAACCTATAATGTGTCAAATATTTAATTACAATCCAAATTCAGACCTGTATCAAGCTTGAATATTGTGTCCATTTTTGCCCCAACTGTTCAGGGTTGGACCTCTGCGGTCATATCCAGCTGTGCTCCGTGAAGCAGTTTATTTCTATATATTTTTAGGGTGAAGGACTTAGTTGAACAAATTTGTTTATGATTTAAATTTATTTAATACTTAGATTTAAACATTTAATTGACATTCCAAATGATTACTGCTTTATTGACTAAAATATTGGTTGTGATTTGTTTTGAGATTGACATTCATCTTGTAAGAGTTTAGATACGTTATGATTGAAATTCCTATACTTCAGTGATAATCCTTACATGTACAATCAATGGTCATTTAACCCAGGGTTACTCAACTTTACTGAAGCAACTGAATACTGTTTATTAAGAAATTATTGCATGCAATTATTAATGCGATTTTTGAAGAAAAGACAAAATGCAAGATTAATTGTTGCTCTTTCAGAAAAATCTACATACAGATATATGTATCAGAATGCGAGTTCTTACTATTGCGATGAACACCAAGCCACATTATTTGCATTAATGAAAAAACCTCACAATAATTTCTGAATTTACAGTAATGTGATCATTGTTATGATAATGCTTACATAATGACATTCTGCATCTCCTATCCTATCTTTTAATTTGAATAATTTTGGGAATTTTCACCAACAAAACATGGACTTTGTTTTTATGCACCACCTACGATAGAAGAGGGGCATTATGTTTTTCGGTTTGTGCTTCCATTCTTTTGTCCGTTCGTCCATCTGTCCTGCTTAAGGTTCAAGTTTTTGGTCAAGGTAGTTTTTGATGAAGTTGAAGTCCAATCAACTTAAAATGTAGTACACATGTTCCCTATGATATGATCTTTCTAATTTTAATGCCAAATAATTTCTTTACAATTTGTTGAGTTGGGGGTATGAATTTGAGAGCTTTGCTAAGTTTTTATGCCTCCCAGTAGCTGAGGGGGCATTAAGTTTTACCCTTGTCTGTCTGTACGTCCACCTGTATGTCCCGAAGTTGGTTCCCGTTCTCTAACTTTAAGTTTGCCTCAACTAAATGTTATGAAACTTATACACAATGCTTATTACCACAAAACACAGATCAAGTTTGAATTTGGTGGTGTCACTTTTATGGTTCTAGAGTTATGCCCATTTACAAATGGAAAAATTGCTGAATTTTTTTGTTTCTGTTCTCTAACTTAATTTTGCCTCAACCAAATGTTGTAAAACTTATACACAATGCTTATTACCACAAAATACAGATCAAGTTTGAATTTTGGTGGTGTCACTTTAACTGTTCTAGAGTTGTGACCTTTATATATTTTTCGTTTCTGTTCAATCAAATGCTATGAAACTTACACACAATGATTCTTACAACAAAACTAAGATCAAGTCCAAATTTGGGTAGCATCACTTTTACATTCTTCAGGTATGTCCCTTTATAACTTTATATGCAAGCGGGGACACATTCCCCATTTATTTCAAGTTTACTTTTTACTGAATTTGTTATGCAGTGGATATGAAAGGTAAGTCTGTTTTTTTTTTCATTTTACAAAATTGATGAGTTAGTAAATGTGTGAAAATTGATACTTATACAATTATTTAGTTTTATTATGAGTATTCTTTTATACAAGATGAGGTTTTTGAATTCTAATTCTTTCCTATTCAGTCTTTATAACTTTAATATTTAATCAAGGGTATTCATTATCTTAACATGTTTTTGACCATGATGCTATTAAATAAAAATCTCTGACAAAAATACAAAAAATGTTCTAACCCAAAAAGAAAAAAACCTTTAACTTGCACAGAATTTCCAAAAAAATGATTGTGACAATATGTTTTTAATAATTATATGTTACGACAAATTTTATGTCTGTCCGTCCATACGTTCCAAAGTTGGTTTCTGTTCTTTAACTTTAGTTTGCCCCAACCAAATGTTATGAAACTTATACACAATGCTTATTACCACAAAACACAGATCAAGTTTGAATTTGGGTGGTGTCACTTTTACCGTTCTAGAGTTATGCCCTTTACAAATGGAAAAATTGCTGAATTTTTCATTTCTGTTCTCTAACTTAAGTTTGCCTCAACCAAATGTTATGAAACTTATACACAATACTTATTACCACAAAACTCAGATCAAGTACAAATTTGGGTAGCGTCACTTTTACCATTCTTCAGTTTTTCTCTTTATAACTTTATATGATATGCAAGTGGGGGCATCATCTGTGTCCTATGTACACATTCCCCATTTATTTCTTCAAGCAAACCCCAGATTTTGATATTATTTTTGAACTGAGAAAGTTTTCTTGCCCTCCTAATATTGAAAAGCATATGTTTTTACCAGAAAGAAAGGGTTTTTGTGTCAAATACAAATGTACAGCAGTATTGGTATAACGGTAACAGTACATGTAGTTTGTATTTATGCATGGTTTTTATTGGCTGGATAAATTATCATAATATTTATGTTTCATTTGAACCAATTCTAAAGAATTTCATTGAAAACTGATTTGTGATTTGTGATCCTAAACAAACTTAAACACAGATAATCTAATATTACCATGTAATTTTCTACTCGACTGAAATCTGTTAATGTAAATTTTCCACTGATCTGAATTGACAGTTTTATTTTGGAAAGACCTTGGAAATTATTGTTTGTTGACTTTAATGTTTGAAGCAACGGATACATGTACATATGTGTGGACAGACATTAGGGAGACAGCAACTAATCAACACAAACCATTAAAACATTGAGCCTTCAATATATATACCATTTGTATAGTCCTGAGTCTAGACAATTTGTAGACCAAGTTAGTAGAGAATCGAAGACCAGCACTCAACTTCACATGAGAGATTATAATTGTAGATTATTGTTAGGATGAAAGTGGGAATAACATTCATTCACATTTAGTCTGGAAAGAAATCATCAAGTGGTAATTGTGATGGAATTCTTTAGTGTCAGAAAGAAGAACCGCAATTATCAATGTAACAAGTCTAAATGATATCTTATAAATACAATTCTTGTGTTATATCTGTTATTGCCTGCTGGTCCTTGCATGACAAATGTAATTAATAAGGAAATCGTATGAAATGTGTTCCTGTGGATGCTGACATCTGAGTTTTAAGATTTCATCAGTTTCATTGACATAAAATTGTTTTGGATTTGATTCTCTGTATATTAACCGATATTATTGAAAGCAGGAAGTGATTGTTAACAAATGACACACACTAGAACAATGCCTGTTATAACATACAAATCACATATTGGTATTTTCATTTGTACTGAATAACCCTGTTACTGAAGATCTATAAAACTTCTCATTCAGTACACAATCAATCCCACAATCCCTTGTAAGATTGCTTCCAAACTACATCTAAATGTATATCAATGTTCATGTAATTTTCAATGTTCTCTTATGCCTAAGCATAAAAAGTTAGAGCTAATTGTAGGATTTCGATTCTTATTCTTTGTTCAAACTGATGTCAAGTTTTCTATCTGAGCCAAATAAACTGTAAAACAGGAAATTCTCAATCACTAATTATTTCTCTTTATGTATAAAATCAAATGACTAAGCATATCTTTTAAACTTTTCTACATTGTAATAATAATTCTGTAAATAAAGAAATTTGTTTTATCTATGGAAGCCCATTTAGGACTTCCAAAAAATATTATTTAAAATTTAAATAACAGATTAAATTTGTTTTCTCAAATTGGAAAAATGTGATCAATGATTAAAATCATAATCATAAAATTGAATAGTTTGTTTTAACAAACTATAAACATTTTTATGCATTAAGTCCTACGCTTGACCTTCCTCCCGTCTGTCCCATTTTTTATCCCCCCCCCCCAGGCAACGGGGACATCAAGTGTTACCCTTTACCGTCCTTCCATCTGTCCCATTTTAGTTTCTGCACTCTAACTTAAGTTTTCTTCATCTTAATTTAATGAAACTCATACACATTGCTATAAACCAAAACTTGCAGAGAGAGTTCGAATTTGGGCAGTGAGTCACTCACCATCATAGAGATATACCCCTTGATAACTTGGAAAATTGCAAATTTTTTTTCTTTTTCGCACTCAAACTTTGTCTCATCCAAATTTTGAAAAAATCATACCTAATACTAAGACAGACAGTATAAATTTTGGCAGTTTGTCATTAATGGTTCTAGAGTTATGACCCTTTATAACTTGGAAAATGCAAATTTTTTCATTTCCGCACTCTAACTTAAGTTTGTCTTGTCCAACACACAGATAGATTTGAATTTGGGCAGTGAGTCATTTACTGTACTAGAGTTACGCCCCTTTTTAATTTGAAAAATTGAACAGCTTGAGTGGGGTCATTCATGTCCTCAGACACATTCTTCTTTTATTTTATGACAATTTTACATTTTATCTCAAATTGAATCTGTTATCATGAGCAGTTTCTATAGAAACTATGGTTCTATAGAAGTGAAGTTTTCCCCACTACACTCCTCCCTCAAATTAAGATGCAAGTGTTAAATATAATGAAGCATTAATGTACTTAAATGAATTATAGAAAAATTCTTTGATCATGAACTACAAAAATTTTATATAACTTTAAAATGTTACAGATTTGTTATCACTAATTTTCTCCTTGATTTGTAATTATAGAATTTATGATAACAATTTTTATATGGGATCACAACTTTTTAAATTCGTAACATCAAATTCAAAAATATATTTTTTGGAGGTCCTGAATGGGCTTCATACATGTAGATATCAGTTTTTGAGTTCATCATAATACATTTTGTAACCCTGAATTGAAGATTTTGAAACTAAGCAACACATGAAGTGAGAAATGTAAAGACTCTGAATTTTGTAGTAGAACCTCCTGTTGGTTCTATAGAAGTGAAGTTTTCCCCAAAGCACTCCTCCCTCAAATTAAGATGCAAGTGTTAAATATAATGAAGCATTAATGTACTTAAATGAATGGTTAAAATCATCTTTTACAGTTCTTGAAGTGGTTGGAGGAGACAATGTACATGGTGATCCAATGAAAAATTACTGGGATGCTAAAAAGGTAAATATGTATAATTTATACCCGTATAGAGTATACAGCAAAAATAAGGAGTTGTTGTATGACTGCTAATTAGACTAACTAACCACCAAAATTCAAATGACATGGATATAAGCAATTATATGTCACCAAACAGCCTTCATCAATGAGTAAAACCCATACTGTATCGTAAGCTATAATAGTATCGATACATTGGAACAAATGTACTAAGAATGCTTTTAAATGTTTATGTCACTGGTAACATGCCTCTTTTAAAAGAAAAAGTGGCCCAATTTTCCTTTTCTGTTATAAGACTATAATTTTATACATATATACATTTTAGTAAGACCTGATCAGATGAGTAAACTTCTATTCAGGTTTCTCCCAAGGCCCTATAGCAGGTTGCACTATGGTGCTATATGAATAGATTTTATAATGGAATCTAGTTTATAGATGTTGTTTGATGGAAACAGTGCTATTTTAAATCCTGTCGTGCTATTTAAAAACACTGAGGGAGAAAACTGTAATCTATTATATAAAGTTTTCTTATTGCAGCTAACAAAATTTTTATTTCTCAATAATGGTGAAAAATGTGAATGAATTTTTTTGGCGGTCTGAATCATTTTGGTTTTAATTCATGTACTTTGGATTCATTTATTTTTGTGGTTACCAATTTTCCTGAATTGAGGAAAAATTGTATTTTTGTGGATATTTATTTTGTGGCTTTGCAAAGTCTGCATATACATGTATAAACTAGCATATAGAAAATTTATCCTTTGTCAAACATTGAAATTCGTGGTTCACTTTACCCACGAAATCCATAAAAATTGGTACCCCACGAATAATAATGAATTAACAGTACACTATCTGTAACATCTTTCTCCTCATTATTTGTGTGACATCTGTATGATAGATACATGTTACTTAACAGTACTGTAAATCAATAACAGACTGGGATAATGAAAAGATTGATATTATCACATGTTTTTTTACTTCGAATCTATTAAATATCTTATAAATAAAATTTTACGCATTCCATTGAAATCAATAGTACATATGACAAGTTTGTACCAAACAGAGTAAAAAATATTGCTTGTTGATTATCTATGCTAATGCATATATGTATGCGGTGAACTGTTTTTCCGATTTTTATATTTCATATCCCATGGATAGTAAACAATATCCTTGATCTCTTATTAAATCAAATCTTCAATACAATTCTACTAACAAGGTCACTTAGTTCAAAACGTGCAAGAAAAGTACAACTTAATAGCATTTAAATTATCACCAGAAAATCAATAACGGGACATGATTTACCATTGATAACTATTAAATCATCTTTTATCATTGGAAGTCATAGAATTTTAAACTTTAGGTCTCTTTTGTTGTCAAAATAAATATGAAGTTAGTTTACAAGTGTACTCCTGTGGTTATACCATTAACAGGTGATAAGTGTGTTTAAACATCACAAGTAAAGTTCACATGTCTCAGTGCACATTGTTTTTGTCATGATTCTCATGAATAATGATATTTATTGTGTAGTCAATGTAAAATATGAAAGAACAGTATGAATTAAATTAAGGTTATTTTTTTGCCCAAAACTTGTTTATGTTTAATGGTAACCCATACTACACTTGGGAAAAGCAACTGAAAATATGCATCAAACAGATTGTTTGTATAATATATGTACATGTACCTGCAGTGATTCTGTTTGTATACATGTACCAGAAGTGATTCTGTTTGCATACATGTACCCGCAGTGATTCTGTTTGTATACATGTACCCGCAGTGATTCTGTTTGTATACATGTACCCGCAGTGATTCTGTTTGCATACATGTACCCGCAGTGATTCTGTTTGCATACATGTACCCGCAGTGATTCTGTTTGTATACATGTACCCGCAGTGATTCTGTTTGTATACATGTACCCACAGGTATTACAATCTGGCGGCGGTGAAGGCGTAAACTATTTGTTTAAAGCTTTTTTTATGCCGCCGCCATAGTGGAGGGGGCATTTAGTTTTACCCTTATCCGTCAGTACATTCGTCCAGAAATTAGTTCGTTCTCTAAATTTAGTTTGCCTCAACCAAATGTTATGAAACTTATACACAACACTTATAACCACAAAACACAGATCAAATTTGAATTTGGGTGGCATCACTTTTACCGTTCTAGAGTTATGCCCTTTACAAATGGAAAAGGTGCTGAATTTTTTGTTTCCATTCTTTAACTTAAGTTTGTCTCAACCAAATGTTATGAAACTTAAACACAAAGCTTATAACCACAAAACACACATCAAGTTTGAACTTGGGTGGCGTTTACCTTTCAAGAGTTATGCCTTTTACAAATGGAAAAATCCATGTTCAACAGTAAATTGTTGTTTGCCCTTTAATTGCTAAAATTATCTAGATGCCTGGTACTAGGAAACTTTAATGGTCTATCAGTTCTATCAGGTATTTGCTAATACATAGAAATTCATATTGCCAGAAAATTCCAGAAAAAAACACAAATTTGAAATAGCAGAGCAAAACAGAGATATATATCATAATTTTATGTTATTATATGGATCATTTCAGTTACAGTCCAGACCCAAATCATGTGAAGTACCTAACATTAAGTAAGTTTTAACTTAAAATGTTTGTGTTTGGCAATGAAGAGCAATTACAATTTGCTTAATAATTTATAATTTCATATGATACAGTGAAAGAAGTAATTTTTCTTTATAAAGATAAAAGTGTTGACAAAACTATTAGTTTCAATTTTTATTGATTTTTTATTTATTTGTGTTATAATTTAAAAAATTTAATTTAAAAAAATGTTTCCTATGAGGAGCTGTTAATACCACAGATTTGCCATTTTCATACATTGATACTTTTGAATATGAATAACGTTTAACTGCCTCAATGGTCTTGTGGTAGCATGCTGGTCTCAATTTAAGGAAATTTGGGGTTGAGATTACCAGTCAGGTCAAACCAAAGACTTGAAAATTGGTATTTACTGCTGCTTTGATAAGCTAAATATGTAGCATATAGGAAAGACCAAAGACTGGTTGGCTGAGAGTCCAATGATGTGCCTAGGGGACATGTCTTCTTGTGTACTGTTACATTGAGGACTAGCATGTTGAAAATCTAGCTCTGTGTTTTTGGATCATATTCATATCAAATTTTACATGTTGTTATCCTGAATATGCGTTTAATTTGCCACTGGACATTAAACAGCCATCCATCATCATCATCTAAAAATAGAATGTGGTTTATGATTGGTGCTTATAGATGTTTTATATCTGATTTGGTTAATATTAATGATAAAACTAGGAAATATTACTTCTTACACAACTTTGATCATAAATTGTGTTTTTGCCTGTAAATTTGTCATCATCCTCTAAGGAATGTAATGTTATTACCTACAAAGTAGAGGATGATTTAATGTTAATCTATTGTGGAAGTTTTTAGACAGATGCACTCCTTGGATTTGGAATTAACTTTCAAAGACCACAATTTATATGATATAAATATTACTGTGTTTCCTCATTGGAAGGATTTAAGATTGATGTTTACGCAATTAAGAGTTTTTAATGCCAGAGGGCATACATACGTACATACAGTACATGAATCACGAGTGCAGATCACCTCTAATCAACAAAAGATGGTGAAAATTGAAAAGAATTGTGTAATATTATATTTTATTATAATATGTAAACAGTTTGAAAATGTTAGGATCTTAACATTTGTAAATATGTCACAGAGGCTAAGAAAAAATAAGCAAACAAATACATTTAGAACTTGCCAGACGAGGAAATAAGAGAGACCGGTGACCACAAGATACATGTATTTCCTGGTGTGCATACACAATATATTTTTACATTGTTGTATCTTTTTTGTGTGTGTTTTTTTCTCATGACTTGATCATGAAGAGCAATATTTATACTTAAAATATTTTGTAAAGCCATGATTTTAATGAATTGTAAATTTATTTTTTCTGGTGAAAAGTAGATAATTTCCTTAAAATTTTATTCTGCTTTTAGCATTTATCCAACAGAAGAAGAAAATCATATAGGACAAATGACTCACCTTCCAATCACCAGTAATACTGGTTCATTGCCAGATTTAACTGTAGTCCATTTCCAGTCACCTCTTACAACACCAATTGATGCTGAAGAAGCTTATGGCTGTTCTCAGGGAAATCTTTCTCCCACAAGTGCTCACATGCAGGGTATGTGCCCTCAGCCTGGTAGTCCTACACAACAGAGCCCCAACCAAAGGCGAAGGCCAGGTGGCCATCCTAGTCCACTTGTGTTGAGTGGTGGACCTCAGTCTCCTCAAATGAGAATGCCACACTCTCCACCAGGCAGTGTAAGTAACAATATTGTCATGGTTTTATTCAGTGTAAGTAACAATATTGTCATGGTTTTATATTCAGTGTATGTAACAATATTGTCATGGTTTTATTCAGTGTAGAAATAATATTGTCATGGTTTTATTTATCAGAGACATTATTGTTGGTCAGTGGCAGATGTAGCATCAGAAAAGTGTCAGTTTTACTTATCCCATATACCACACTTAATAGTAATAATTCAGTGGGTGTCTCTTGTATATCAAGTCAGATTCAATATTGCTGTTTGCTGTAGCCACAATTATACTCTGGATTCTTTTATTGTAGGTGGGTACAATTTTCTCTAATTAAAAGACTTGTGATTTGTATTTTATCAAGTTCTTAAATTTGTTGTTTTGATTTTCTTGTATCTTTGAAATCCACACAAATAAGTATTCGGACAATATTAATGAATTCACAGAACTTTTTGTCTCACCTCAACAAAATTAAGAAAAAGATACTTATGTGTGTTGTTTCTGCAGCATCACAATGTATTAGTGTAAATTCAGAAATTATTGTGATGTTTTTATTATTGCGAAAAATGCGACAGGGTTATAAACGCAATAATTTAAACTCGCATTTTGAAATATTTTATATGAATTTAAACAGGATTTTTCTCAATATCGCAAAAATTAGAATCGCATTTTAGTCTTAAATGACAAAATCGCAATAATAAATGCATGCAATAATTTTTGAATTTACAGTAGTTTGTGATTAGGTCAGTTAATAGGTAAACACTATTCAAAGGTCAATCATACTTAATATGCAGTTATATTTATAGCATTTCCATGGATGTTATTTGGCTCTGCCCTTCAGTCATGGTCTATTGACTTTGCAACTTTTGCTTAGTTTACAAGTAAAAGTTTAAGAGTTTAGGTCAGCTTGAATGGAACAACTTATAATTAGTCAACGATATTTTGTATGCAGTTGTATTAGCATTGTCATTTCTCATTGCCACAGAGATTATTTGGTCCTCCACCTTCAGTCATTATTCATTTACTTGAATGTTTTGCATGGTTTCCATGTTAAAGTATTGCCATTTTAATTTTAATATTTGCATTATACTAAAAATTTACATATAAGCGAGACATATCTCTGTGTCAATAGTTTATTAATGCTTGAAATAAAAGTATTGAATTATTTGTATGTTTGGTTTTCTATGAAGTTAGATATTGCTGTTGTCAAAATATATGACCATAGTTAGATTAATACTGTTAAAGATATCATTTCATTAAGTTACATGCTTATTGTTGTAAACCTAGTGTACACATTGTTTGAAATATAAAAAGATTCATATTCAAAAAAATTTGAAACGTTGATAAGGGAAGTCATATCTGCATATATATGGATATAGTTTCTATGACAAAGTTATATGTCATTATTTTCCTGTTTTTGAAAAAATATTTTTGCATAATTTGAAATCAAGGTTTTTGGTGTGATAATTAATCGCCTGAGTTTTATGCTTTAAATATGATATTTATATTTAAATGGTTAAAAGGAATATTAATAGCTATAAAATATTTGCATTTGACATGTATTTTCAGAAATATTATGAATAGAATTATTGAGATTTATTGAAAATACTTAAAAAGATGCCTAAGAGTTGCAAAATATTTTCAAAATTATTTACAATGAATGAGTATAAATTCTTAATTTACTGACAGTGGACAAAAATCAAACAACAAAATTAATTTGTAAAGGAAATTACTCCAAACTAAAGATGATCCCTTTTTATTACTGATATGCAGAAACAAGTTCACTAAAAGTGATTTTCCATTTGATGTTAAAATATGTCTGAGAAAGAGATTGGACTTCATTTTCTCATAGTAATATTGGTCTGAGAAACAGATAAGCAAGCTTGTATGGCCTTTATTTTCTTATAGATATATTGTTCTGAGAATCAGATAAGCAAGCTTATAAGGCCTTTATTTCCTTACAGTTATTTTTTTCTGAGAACGAGATAACCAGGCATTGTTGGCCTATATTTCCTTTAGTTATATAAATCTGAGAAACAAATAAACAAGCTTGTATGGCCTATAATTCTATTTAGTCATATTCTTCCATGAATGATTAATTATATTTATACCAGCCAACCTGTTTTGTTGTAATCGTATGTTAGTGAATGTTGTCAGTTAAATTCATCCCTAATTTGTTTTATGATTGAAATCCACTGCATGATGATTAACAGGCTACCATTGGTCAAAGGCTTGTTAGTCAACTCTTTATATTACAAGGAATCTTTTTTGAAAGTATTCCTTCAGATGAAAACAAAACAAGCTGTCCACTAAGTCAGGTGTAACTGAGGCTGTGTTAAATCCATGCCCTATATGGATACATTATGTATAAAAAGATTCCTTTGATAAATAACTACACATTGGTAGTCTTTTTATCTCATCGATTATCAGAAATTTACGACCTTTTGAGCTTGTATTTTGAAACTAATAATGTTCATAAATTCTTCACTCTTACCATAATGTATGACATGTTAAAATTGATTAGTTTTGTTTGCTGGTACAATGAAAATGAAAACTAAAACCTAGCTTTTAGTGCAGGTTTCAATTACTGAAATGCACATAAATATTTTAAAACTCTATGTAATAAAAACATTGGAAATTTAAATTCAGAAGGATAAACCTTATTTTTTTGAATATATATAGTTAAAAATTAAGGACAGAGTGATGTATCATTTGAAATTTAAATTCCTAAATTGGTTATTTTTGTTTCATTCTACAAAGTCTCAATAAAATCATTTAATATCAATTCACTAATATTTTAGCAGTTTATTACAGCATTTCTTAATTATATGAGAATGAATTGGGTGCTTTTATATGGAAAATAAATAATAGCCTTTTATTGTGTATTATGTTTGCACTGATTATTTTAAGTTTGCAAAGATGGATGCATGCTGATATATATTTTTCTAAGCTAACTTTGGTTGTGAAATATTTTTCATTTTGAACAGTCTTCTTTGCTGAAAAATTAAAACTTGTATTGTGGATCCATAATTATTCATGGGGTACCAATTTTCCACAAAGTATATATTGTTTACATACAGACTTGCATGTAGAATTTGGCAAAACTACAAATTGAAATATTGACGAAAGTTAACAATCCTCAATCAGAGGAAATTGGTATCCGCAAGGGTGAATGAATCCACAGTATTCATATAATATCAAACCTGTATCCATCCTTGTTGTAGTATTCGTTGTAGTATTTTGTGTGTGTTTTGTTTGACCTTTAGGTTGTGAACCCTGACCCTACACAACTGCCGCTGGATCCCCGCATTAGGCAGCAGCAATTATTGTACCACCTTCAGCAGCAGCAGAGGCATGGAGCCTCCCAACACCCCAACCCCCAAGTATCTCAGTCACACCCATCTCCTTCATCCAATCATATACAGCAGGGGTCTAGGGTGCCACAAGTTTGTGTAACTGCATGTGACCAAAATGATACCGAGGTTAGTAACTCATAGTGTTCCAGATAATCTCTGCCTCCCTTCATTGATTTTATGAATTATTTGGAAAAAATAGTACACGTTTTTTTAGTTTAAACATATTTTATTGTTCAGAAACTAAACAAATGGATGAGACACAAGTTTTACAACTTAATAATGTCTTCTCCAGATGTAATGTTCTGATTTTAGTTAACATCAGTTTTATGGAATTTTTTTAAGGACATTACTGAACAGTTTTACAGAAATAAATATACAACAATGACCAGAATCCTGATTCAATGTAATCATTTCAATAGTTCATGACAGCTGAAGTCAAACATTTCTTGTATGTGGATCAGACTTTAAATCATGCAATCTTTATCTGGAACACTTATTTATGTTGTATATATATATTTGTTTCTTTGAAGCATGCTTTATTTTTGTTATTTTACTTGTAGATATTTCAGATTTAAAAATATGTTGTTCAGAAGTGTTTATTGTTCACACAAAATATTAGGTACGAGGGTTCTCATGATCTATTAATAAGTGTTGTTGCTTACATCAGTGTCATACATAAAAAAACAATATATATAAGAGTTGTGTTAACGAAATTTTTATGAATACTACTGTCAGATAGAAAATTCCCTAAAGTTGCATATCTTACACTTTTACATATTCAGGAATCCTAGTAACAAACTTTATCACTTCTGTGTATTCTATTTCTCATTACCGTAACTGTCACCATTTTAACACCTTTGAAATGAAGATTTTGTTCAGATTATATTAAAACAGATTTTTTTTTTATCTTAGATAGGTTTATAAATTCTTAATAAGGATACAGCTACTTATTAGAAACAGTCTTCATTAGTTTAGGCAGACCATTATATTTTATGATGCAACTTAGTGGCAATGGCATATTCATAATGGTGACATCTCAGGCCAATGGATAAAAATCCACAAAAAAATAGAGCAAGAAAAATGGGTTATACTTATAAAAGAATGAACTGTATCCAAAAAATGAATACTAGAAATAACACCATTGATCTTTCTACAATGAGCAACGAGTTAAAAGTTAAACAGAATATTAGTAATGGTCAAAAGTTTCTAACACCGAAACAGGCCCTCTGACCATCAACAACTAATCCATCTATGAATGATTGATTGATTGTTGGTTGCTTAACATACTGTGGCAAATATTTCATGCATATTCAGGACGAAATCCATCTATGAAAGGCAATGCAGTTACAAAAAAGCTTTCATGAAATACTAATGGTCCTCATGGGCTAACTTCTTATAAAACATAAACATTAAACAATTTGGCATTGTTTCAATCATAATGCTTCACCTGCAAGTGGTCAAAATAACAAATGTTATTTCACAGGTCTGGTTATTCCATGCTAAGATTCTATATTACATGCATTATAAATTTTAATATGGTCAAAATGTATTTAACAAGACCATAGCTTTTGTTTTTATAGAATTTTAAATTTCTTTACTTTTTTTTTAGCCATCATTATCCCACTATAGAAACAGTGTTTCTGATTCCAACTGCCAATCGCCCACATCACCACGGTCTCAAACATCATATTCTCCTTCACAGTCACCTGGTCTTACGCCGTCATGGAATAGTAATTCACCGTTTGTAGATAATTTTCAGCTTCAGCAGCAACAACATCAAACAAATGCGTTACAACATCAGTTTGAACAATTTAACATGGTAAGTAACAATACCGTAAGAGTCTTTCAATTTTGTGCAATATAAGGGTGTTAAAGTTTACCTGTATATTATCAAGCACATATTCTATTTAATAATTGTTTAAAATGTATTCCTTTTGACTCAGAAACCAATTTATGAAATGTTAATGAGTTCATTGTGAAAAAAAGATTAACCTCTATACACTTATATGGTTTCACAATTCAAGAATACATCATGATGCAATCTTCATGATTATTAATTCATATGTTATTAAAATAGAAAAGAAGAAATAGATTTTACAAAGGAGATGGTGTATAAATGTGGAAAATGTGGCTAAATTTTGAGGTTAAACAAAACAACGAGAAGTGTTATGATTACTAATTAACTAACCATAAAACCAAAGGACAGAAAAATTGCAGGTCACTACGGCCTTGAACAATGAGCAAATCCCATACTAAATAGTAAGCTTAAAAAAGCTATATAAATAATATGATTAAATCTGAAACAATTGAAAAAAGAAAACCAATGGCTTGCTTTAATATACTACAAACAAAAAAATAAATATGGAACACAGCAACCAACGGCAACCACTAGATTATGCATACTCGTCTTTACTAAACGTTGGTCATGAAGAATATGGCGGGGTTAACCTATTTTGTGAGCCCTCAACCCTCCTTTACTTATTACAGTGTTGTAACAACACATTTTTATGCCCCCACCATAGCGGTGGGGGCATTAAGTTTTACCCTTGTCCGTCTGTACATACGTCCGTCTGTACGTCCCAAAATTGGTTTCCGTTCTCTAACTTGAGTTTGCCTAAACCAAATGTTATGAAACTTATACACAATGCTTATTACTACATAATACAGATTAAGTACGAAATTTGGTGGCAACACTTTTACCATTCTTGAGTTATGTCCCTTTATAAACATGAAAATTGCTGAATTTTTCGTTTCCGTTCTCTAGCTTAAGTTTGTCTTAATACTTATACACAACCGTTCTAGAGTTATGCATGTTTACAAATAGAAAATTGCTGAATTTTAGTTTCTGTTCTCTACTTAAGTTAGCCTTAACCAAATGTTATGAGACTTCCACACAATGCTTATTACCACAAAAGTCAGATCAAGTTCAAATTTGGGTAGCGTCACTTTTACCGTTCTTCAGTTATGTCCCTTTATAACTATATGATATGCAAGCGGGGGCATCATCTGTGTCCACATGTGGACACTATCCACATTTATTATTTGAAATTTAAATGAAACAGATTTTTACAACACATGGATGAGTGTGTAGGTAAAAGTAGTATCTTTGGTTAGCTTGCTTGCTAGCTGAACCTAGCTGTGGAACTAGCTGTTACATCCTTATGATATTTTTTGACAATTTGTCAAGTGGTCCTAAGGACCTAAGAGCTACAATTCCACAGCTAAGCTGAACCATGGAATAGTTATTAGCTAAGGTACTACCTTCATTAATGCTTTATTAATAGTCAATTGTTAAGCAGAGAGTCAATCAAAAGTAGGGACAGTATATAAACATTGTGAAACCAGTTTTACAAGTCAATTTTAAAATATTCTTTCAATCTAGATTTAAAATCTAGTGTCAATTATAAGCAAATTCACAATCATGTTGTAGGTGTGTTTGATTTGTCAATCTCATTTCAATCAATTACCTCTGTTCATCAGAGAATGATCTAGACAAAAAAAAAATATTGTAACTGACCTTCAACTAAAGTGACGATTGAACATTGTGATCGCTTGATCTCTTAGATTTGATTAATCTTGATAATAATACCTTAATGCTAGATAATTTATTCTTTTTAGCCTGAAACAAAACAGATAAATGATACAATTAAGTTTCAATATTAAATGCTCTATTTAGAAGTAATTATTGCCTTGAAGCCATATGTGTTTGTTTTGTTACTACATATAGGTTCTGTCTTAATGGAACAGTAACAATGTAAATGAAGCTATTTTTGGAAAGTGATATATGTATATATTCAAGTAAAATTATGATGATATGATAAATCATTATTGTAGTTCATAAAATGTCACACAAAAGGTTACCAAGTAATACTGACCTGATATAAATGTTAATGTAGGTGGAAGTTTGAAATGTTGGAGTACGATTGAGATTTATTCCTTATATATACCTGAAAATAGTACCTGTTATGATACATTACATATCTCATAACACACAGTTGGAATTGTTCTTGGAATGTTTCATTTTATTATATTTAATTCATTTTAACGCTTTTCTACTATTGTTTTAGAATGTCCATAGTTAATTGTATAATGTGATTTATATTGCTGTGTAACATTAACAACTATCTCCATCATCATCAATATAGCATAGAACCCAAGTCATAAGAAAGTTTTATACCCTGATTTCTGTAGTGGGAGGGATATAGTGATGAAGAAGTGCATCCATTTTTCTGTTCGTCCCTCCTTCCCGCTTTTGTATCCGCTACTGCTCCTGAACCCCCTGACAGACTTTGTGAAACTTATACAGCATCTTACTTTTGACTGCAATGCCAAAATAGTGACAAAGAAATGAAATAATTCCTTCCATTGTAGAAATAGAATGCTTTGATATACAGTCTAACTTGTGTAAACAGATATCTGTCTGAAATCAATCTTGGGAGTACAGTGATTATTCTTTAATAAATTCACCTGCATATACTTACCACCCGTCTAATTATAACAAACTTTAAGTGGTTCAGTTTAGACAGGTTTCACTGTTATTTGTTGAACTTGATTGATTTTTTTTTCTTTTTCAGTCACCTGATAACCATTACAATACAATAGAAACATCATTACATCAGAATGGAATATCACAGCAGAATTCTATCATAATGTCACAGGCCATGGGCTTACATCAGCAGCAACAGCCCTCGTATTTCCATCCTCAGCAAATAGACTTAATTAATCTTAACTCCTCACGGAGAGGAATCAATTCTGCTCAACATATGACTAACCATCATAATCATCATCATCATCAGCAAAATAATGACAAAATACCAGAAATAATATTTACAGGTGAGGTTACATTATTACTATTTACAGGTGTGCCAGCTATCAGCACAATACAGACTTGTAACATAGACATCTAGCTGATGAATACAGTGCTGTGGACAAAGAAATACTGGATGTCTGTCCCTTCAGTCTTGTAATTACTCTCACACAAACAGTTCTTGCCAGATTTTAAATGAAATTTATATCAGCGATGTGTCTCTGAGAAGTTCAAAAATCAGTGCCCATTAACTATTTTTAGAGAAATTATTCCCCACATAAAAATTGCATTGTAAGCGCGCTCAAGCCTACATTGCTTTTAGGAGTTTTATAAAATTGATACTGAAGGTTTATATCATCATTGACTTGGACCAGTCCAAAAATCATATCTCATTGGAAATGTAAATTTTATGGAAAGAATTGTCATAGTTTTATGAAATTTATACTAAAGGTTTATATCAGAAAGGCCTTGGAAGAGGCCAAAAATCAGTGCTGATTAACTATTTTTACTGGAATTATGTCCTTTTTAAATGTAAATTATATGGAAAATTGCATTGTAAGCACTCTCACGACTACATTTCTTGTTGGATTTTTATGAAATTTAAGTCAAGGTTTATATCAATAAGGTTTTTGATAATCAATGATATTCAACTATTTTTGCAAGAGTAATGTTCCTTTGAAATAGAAATGATAAGAAAAATTGCCTTGTAAGCTGAATGGCACCTACATTTCTTGTAGGTATATATATTAAAAAGTTGAAAAGAACAAAATAAACATTAGAGTTATTGCCCTTGGCTAGGTAAAATATATGCATCTGCAGGAGACATTGGAATGGTGTTCTTTTGTTTCATTTGAAGAAATAATCAAGTTTATAATTGATTGTAGAGGCAAAATTGAAAGAGATATATACATTTAACAAATTTTCAAAACAATAATTTCTTATAAACCAACAAAATTTCCTTGAAGCATTTGAAAGAGTCCGAAATTGCACACAGTTAAATTATTATGTCTGTACATCCCAAAATTGGTTTCCATTCTCTAACTTTAGTTTGCCTCAACCAAATGTTATGAAACTTATGCACAATGCTTATTACCACAAAAAACTTATCAAGTTTGAATTTTGGTGGCATCACTTTTACCGTTCTAGAGTTATGCCCCTTTACAAATGGTTTCAGTTCTCCTACTTTAGTTTGCCTCAACATAATGTTATGAAACTTATGCACAATGCTTATTACCACAAAACACAGATCAAGTTTGATTTTTGGTGGCGTCACTTTTACAGTTTGTAGAGTTATGCCCCTTTACAAATGGAAAAATTGCTGAATTTTTCGTTTCCGTTCTCTTGCTTTAGTTTGCCTCAACCAAATATAATGAAACTTATACACAATGCTTATTACCACAAAACTCAAATCAAATACAAATTTGGGTATCGTCGCTTTTACCGTTCTTGAGTTATGTCCCTTTATAAAGTTTTATACAAGCGGGGGCATCATCTGTGACAGCAGTTCTGATTGTTTTCATCGTGCCTTACCCTGATACTTGATTTGTTGACATACTTTATTCTGCAGTCCGGGAACTCCTTCCACATGGAACATCAAATTTTATATAACATTATTTTCAAAGAAGTAAAATGATAGTTCTGTAGTAACTAAAACATCCTTTCTTGATAATTTAAATTCATTAGAAATTTAAAAGTTGTAAAACTTTTGATATATATTGAAAAGTATATAGTAAGATGGAATAGATCCTCCTGTTTAAATAAAAACTAATTAGCCATTAATAAGGTTCACGTTACTTTCACTGATATTTCAGTATGAACAAACTAAAATGCACAGTCATTGCATTGTACAGTTACAGAGAATGCATTAGTATAATAAAGCATTTGATTATTCAAACCTAAATTGTATCTCTGACATTGCTGATTCAGCAGTGTTTTAGTCTTTTGACTGTTAGTGCTTGTAAATCAAGAATTCAGACAATTACTTTGAAACCTAAATGAAATATTGAAATACAAATGAATTTAATAAGTTTCTTATCCTATAAATATATAGATTTGTTCTAAAGAAAAAGGTTTACTAGATCATTAGGCTAACACAAGTTACATAAAAGAACATAAAATAAAATAAGTGCAAGAAAAGAACTTAAAACAAGGAATTATTTGAATCTGGAATAATTTTGAATTCTAGAAAATGAAATGTATGATGAAAACTAACCAAACTAAAGCAGGGCTAGCCATGGGTTCACAAGTATCATGTAACTTTCATTGATATTTCAGTATGAACTAACGCCCTTAGCCATGCATGCATGGATGGCTTAGCCTCCTTAATTGGGTTAGTTTTCATCATACATTTCTTATCAATTTTCAAGAATTCAAAATTATTCCAGATTCAAATAATTCCTTGTATTAACTCTATATCAACTGTATCAGGAGTAGTTTAGGCCCATATTTGGCCAAAGAAGATGGAGTTTTGGGAATTACTTCAAATTTGCTCAAGATATAGGGAAATGCCTAAAAGTAAGAAATATAAATGAATTATACCAGATTTACAAAGATATGACATCATTATATGCGTATTTTTCACAAAAATGAGGGTTTTTATTCAGTTTTCCATTCATGTTTCCTGGGTGGAAACTGACCTCTGGAAAATAATTTTTTTAACAGATATTTTCTTATATAGCTACTTTCTAGGTTTGATTAAATATTAAGTTGCGATTTTGATGCAGCATAATACTTTTTCCATCCCAAATATGCATCAAACAGCATGGAAACATAATTAGTACAGTATTTTTGTATGCTCCGTTCCATGGGTAAAGGAAGATTTTTAGAAAAAAAATATGCAAGGCTATGACTTAATAATAAGTTAGATATTTAAGGATAAACTATAAATATATAATTCTAATAACTGTCTTAATATCATTTTACACCTTGATTTGTTATAAAAAGTAATGATTACAATGTCAAGACATTACATAACAAAATCAATATTACATACCTGTTACTACAAAGATGACATCCATATCCAGGTAAATGTCTGTACAGACATCCATTCTCACTAGGGTCCATGATTACTCAACTATATCCACACACATAATGCATTGTTTACCGTATTTAATTAACAGACCACAGAACTGGCAATGAAGAAGTCAGTTTAGATGATATATCCACTAATGCAATGTTTGATGGTGGATTTATAATCGGGGAACAAGGCATTTGGGTACAGTCACAAAAACAAGGTACAAAACAAACAAATGTTGTTATTTTACGCTTGTTTTATTTTTACCTGTAGTGGAAAAGGATAGAAAATGTTGATTTTCTGTTTTATTTATTATTTCAATGGGAATATTTCTAAAAGTATATAGTTGTATCAATAGGATTAATGTGAGTTTTTTCCTAATGTATTTTCTATTCAAATGTTAGTTTAAGATGGTCTTAACTTTCCTTTTACCTTTTTGCTCTACCAATTTTATTTCCTCTAACTGGTATTAAATAATAATATATTCATAGCTTAGACAGAGCAGTTACATAGGCTTAATGTATAACTGAACAAAATTTTTTCTCACTACGCTTTATATTAGAGAGGCAGGTCTGCGTGTTTGTCAATTTTTGCATTATTTTGTGTGCCTTGTATCAGCAAATGTTTATAACAAAGAGAAAAAAATCCCTTACGAAATCAAGATATAAGAATAATCTATGCATTTCCTATCATGAAATCAACATTTTTTTAATGCCACAAAGGTTTTTTTGCAGATTTATTAATGCTAATGCTTATAAAACTTGAAGACTTTATGTAATTGTAAAATATAACCTATATTATTTCATTTAAATTTAGATTATAAAGCATATTTAAAAACTGCTTCTCTATTATAAATTGATTAAAAAAATTGAACATTATTGATTTTCAAGAAAGACTATTTCAATAATGAAACAGTATGATAAATTAAGATCAGTTGCCAACAACAGAGAAATTTTAATTAAAAATCAAGCTAAGTATATTTAAAAACCTCACCGATTTGCATCAGTTCAAATTATATTTGCTTGAAGTATGAAAACTGCTAATTACTAGAATAATTCCTGCTTTAAGTTATTTTCTATTTTCTATAAGCATGTTTTTTTTTAACCATCCTTCATATTTTACTCAACTTGCCTGCTTGTTTTCTTGAATTAATTAATTTGTGAAATTTCTATTGAATGCCTTAACAAGGATCTGAACGTCAAGTTGTTAACTCGTAGCTTTAGTCGGATAATTACTTATTGTGACTTGTAAAGATTGATGGATGGGTTGTTGTTTAATGTCCATATATGATCAGGTCGAGGACATGGTGATGTGAATTGAATATAAATCCTAAATGATTGCACTTCCCTTCATCTTACACAAAAACCACTTGCCCAAAACAGACTGGCAAACCCTTCTTTTTATAACATCTTACTCAAGCCATTTGTCAAATATCTAGACTAGCAAAACATTCATAATTAGACATCTTACACACATCATTTACCTAACAAAGAGACTAGAAAAATACATAAAATAGGGCATCATACACAAACTTCTTTCCCAACAAAAAGACAGCAAACCATTCAGAAGGAGACATCTTCTTAACATTATGCATAACAAGGCATCTCTAACATTGCTTGCCAAGCAAAGGGACCCTAAAAACTATTCACAATAAGGCATCTTACACAAACCACTTGTTCAACAGAGAGTCTAGCAAATCATTCATTACAAAGCATCTCATTTTTATAAGACCGCAAAATGCGGTCGTATATTGGTATCACGTCGACGTCGTCGTCCGAAGACAGTTGGTTTCTGGACAATATCTTTAGTATTATTAAATAGAAATGTATGAAATTTAAACACAAGGTTTATAATCACAAAAAGAAGTTTGGGATTGATTTTGGGGGTTATGGTCCTAACAGTTTAGGAATTAGGGGCAAATAAGGGCCCAAATAAGCATTTTTCTAGTTTCCAGACAATAACTTGTGGAACGGTGTATGGATCTCTCTGAAATCATACCACAAGTTTCCATACCACAAAGGGATGGTTAGGATTTGCTATGAGGGGGTTATGGCTCAAACCGTTTAGGAATTAAGGGAAAAACAAGGGTTTCCTGGTTAATGGACAATTACTTAAGACAATTTAAAAGCAGTGTAAGGGAGGTAATCCAAACATAACGTTTTGATTACCTCCCTTACACTGCTTTTAAATGATGTATAAAGAAAATGTTGTATTGTCTTGAGATGATTAGCTGTCAATTTATTTTTAGAAGTTACTATTAAGGAATATTAATTTTAGCCATGATTATGTATGTCATTTTCTATTTTAAGACTTTTATGATGTATTTAAATGGGTAATTATGGTTGCAAACTCCATTGGAAATTTGAATTGAGATTATGACCATATCTTGAGGGAAAGAATTTTTTTGGGGGCAAAAGTGAGGGGTAAAAGGAATTGTGAAGGGTCAATTTTTTCTCATTTCAGATTTCAGAAATTAAAAAGAAAAATTCTTCAAATATTTTTTTTTGCAAAAAAAAAGTGTGTGTGTGGGGGGGGGGGGGGAGGGGTTCAATACTCATCAGCAAAGTGTATTGCTCAAAAGCAATTGAAATTCAAATAATTGAATATAAATTCAAATCATATAATCAATTCTAAGTTCTTTGACTACAGTTATTCTGTGTCAAATATTTAATTACAATTCAAATTCAGACCTGTATCAAGTGCGAATATTGTGTCCATTTTTGCCCCAACTGTTCAGGGTTTGACCTCTGCGGTCGTATCCAGCTGCGCTCAGCAAAGCAATTTATTTTTTCAGTATTTACAATCACTGCAGTCTCACTTATAATTACATTACCAGTCTAAATCTCATGAAGGACATTTCCTAGCATGTTCTAGTATGTGATTGAGGATTGCATTTTACTCAAGACTTTGTATTTTAATCAATTCTATATTGCAATAAATTTTCTGAATAAAAAACACAGACACGTCTGGTCTGAATGGTACCTGTGCTATGGGAATGCCACACCCTTTGCATGATAAAATTTCTCAGCAAACAACTTGTAGAAGGTTTCATTAATGACTGTGCAATGTAAAATTTTTAACTGGTATATCATGTTTCATGGGGTATTTACAAAATATTTATCGAGACAAGGTAAAATTTCCTGAGCTTTCTAAACAAGTAATATCCTTCACAAGACTGGAATAATCGCAAATACCTCGCTAGAGCATGATATATCTGTTTAATTCCACGGAAAAGCAATATGAATGGTGAATTTAAGCATCCAATTCAATTCTATTATTTATTTGCTATTAGGCAAAAGCTGTTGTATGTAATAAAATGCACTAATGAACAAGCATATTTGTGAAGGGTAAAAATGTCATATACGTATCAGCAAATACCATGGCAGAGAGGGTAAAACAGCATATCCTTGTGCATATGCCCTGGCAGGAGTGAAATATAAATGATATTCATTTGATAATAAAAAAAGTACAAGAAAAATACACTGGCTATCAACCATTCAAAATACAGCATACTTATATGAGGGGTATTTATCTGCCCTTTCCAACCCTCTTTTCTTTAAAGATTACCACATCCTCATATCTGAAGAGAGCTTACACAACACTTTTGTTTAAATTTAAAAATCATATCAACACAACATTTCTGGTATGCAAGATCAGAATTTGTACTACTTTTCCCAAAACAAAAAATATTTATTTACACTAACAAAACAAAATTTATACATCAAAAACATGGGTTGAATAAAAAGTTATCACATTAAAATTCAGTTTATGTTTTTCTTGTACACCTGATTTATATCAGTTCATGTGTTCTTTTACAACACTGAATCTATTGAAATATACATTATTGATCTGAAAAGCCATTTTAAAAACAGTACTTTTGAAAGATACTTAAGAAGAGGCTCTTACAAGTCTTGACTAAAATTCTTATTTATGTTTTAGGTGCTGATGATTATACGAAACAACAAGATTTTGCTAAAGAATTAGGAAATGCTATAACTGGAATGCCCGATGGATTTGATACGGACCTTTTTCCTTCTGTTGAAGCTTTAAAAGCTGGACTTGACCCATTAGATTTACAAGAATTGCAGTTGCTATCGGATCCAAATAATTTAACTGATCCAGCTACTGAAGAATCATTCAAACTTGATAGATTGTAGGATGCCATCACTTATTCTTCCTTGTGTGATGACCAAGAAGAGAACCTTTATATTTTATTTTGGTGATCTGAAAGCTTATGACATTCCATCCTTATTTAATGTAAACCAACTTCATTTTAATGATATTGTCATTACTGTTATAAATTGTAATGGAGAAAGCATTTAACGTGGGCATTAACTGAGTTATTGTTTGATGACCATTTATATCTACCTTTTTGTCTCTGTTGCATGTCCTAGTAAATTTGGATAATTTACTTTTTCGGTAAAAAAAGGTTGAATGGTCCAAATAATAATACCATTGAAATGTTTCTCTTTCAGGGTAATAAACATATTCAAATAGGCTTTTTTACAACAAAAAAAAGAGTGATAATTATTTGATGGCATTGAATTAAGTTGAGATATTATTTTAAGAAAGCCAAGCAGCGATACACAATTTCCATTTCTAAAACAAACTGTTAAGCCCATGATCATAGATACAGAGCTTTGAAATTTTGTGTTTTATTGTGATATTTTAATTTCATCTTTGATCATGTGATAAATATATTTCTTAACATTTTGTTGTAGAAAAGGAATACTTTTGTAACAGTTAAAAACAAATACGTAAAATGTTCAAGGTTTTAAGCTGAATAATGCTTTTGAAGTTTTAGAATGTGAAAAAAATATGAATTGGTATCTGATTTATTATAAAAGGAAGAAGATGTTTCCATAGAAATGATTTTAAATTGTGATGAACTTGGATTATATTTGACCTTGACGGATGAAGTTGGTTTATATTTGACCTTGACAGATGAAGTTGGTTTATATTTGACCTTGACTGATGAACGTGCTGGATACTGTGCTGTTTGTTAAGTATTACTGTTATGTTTCTCGTTAATTGTTTGATCAAAGTTTATTTGTCATTTTTGTTTTGCAATAGATAGCTAGTGGTTGAGAAAGGGATTTTAAAAATCCCTTTCTGTGTATAAAAAAGTACAGTAAATCTTATATGACATGTACTTTCTATATCTGACGCAGCGTTTTTAACTTTAATGAAATGGCATGGTAACACTACATATTGTTTTGAATATTATCTAAGTATTATAAAGCTAGGATTATGACATCACAATTTCATATTCAAATTATTATTACTATAATATCATGTATATCAAAGTTTTAGTAAGGACTGACAATTTTGTTTAATGAATTGAGGCTGAAAAGCCACTTTAGAGAGTCTTTTCTATTTGTTGAAGCAAATTGATACAAATTACTAAAGCCCTAGCCAATTTTGACGAAAATGTGGCAAAAGCACTGGTGATAAGATCACTCATTGAAGTGTTTGACAATGTAAATGATTTGAATTCTAAATACTTAGTACTTAGTGTGACATGGATAGAGTAATTTGGGGAATTCTGATATTTTGTTCTTATTCAAGACTTTGTAAACATGATTTTAATATTTTGGGACAATGCATATTTGCTGTAAATCTAGATAACAAAAAGTACTTTTTTGATAGTTGAATTGCTGTAGAAAAGTTTGTATGTCATTACTTCTGACACATTGTAATAGCTTTACATAATGTGATACCATGAAGTTAAGTTGTCAAAACAACATGTTCTTTCATTTTCGTATGGTTTAAAACTGAATTTTCATTGCTTTAAGATATGAAATACCATTAATAAATTCAATTTGGATTACTTTTGAATAAAAAAATACATTTAAATTTTGATTCACAGTATAATTTGCTATCTCGAAATACAAAGGCAAAAGTAACTAAAAAAATTTTTTTTTTTTTTTTTTTCTTTTTGAGTTTCTAGAAATTCTGAATTTGATATAGTCTGAATTGGTATTTACTTGTGAAAATTTGAATTGCAGGCTTTACAGAGAATTGACGGCTTTATTTATTTCACATGGGTCAGATTCTATTATGGCTTAAATGAATTTTCATTCAAGCATTGATCTAAATGGCAGCGTTTATCTATAAAAACTTTGTTTTAGTAATTGTAAATATTTATTCTATGTACAAGTTGGTAGGTTTATATCATAAATTCTGCAATACAAATATCAGTATATAAATCTGCTGTGTAAGCAGAATCAAATTGTGAGTGTGAATGCCATACCCAGTAAAGCTTACAAGTGCTATATGTGTGAAAACTGTCCATTTATACTATAGATCATAACACAAAATTTTGGTAGGATCTTCTTAATGAATTGTAAAGCATATATGTATTTTGATCTGGAGAAAAAAAATGTTAATACCAAACATTGTGTTGGTCTGCTTCTGTCAAATTGTATCTGTCATAATTAAAGGACATTACGAAGACCAAGGGACTTCAAACCTATATACATTATATAGAAAAATTAGTCATTTACCGTGCTGAAGTTTATCAAGGATGAGCAACGTTTGAAATTTTGAAACAATGTTGAACATACATCGTTGTGAATTTAGTTATCAGATGGTTAGTTTTGGTCAGATTCCTTTAGAAAAAGCTAATGTTTAACATACATCCTTGTGAATTTAGTTATCAGATGGTTAGTTTTGGTCAGATTCCTTTAGAAAAAGCTAATGTTTAACATACATCCTTGTGAATTTAGTTATCAGATGGTTAGTTTTGGTCAGATTCCTTTAGAAAAAAGCTAATGTTCAACATACATCCTTGTGAATTTAGTTATCAGATGGTTAGTTTTGGTCAGATTCCTTTAGAAAAAAGCTAATGTTTAACATACATCCTTGTGAATTTAGTTATCAGATTGTTAGTTTTGGTCAGATTCCTTTAGAAAAAAGCTAATGTTGAACAAATAGATGTAACACTGAATAATCTTTTATGTAAGTAGGATCAGATCTATGAAGTACAGTAAACTGTAAGTGCCATTCCTTAGATTATAGCATGCATTAAATGAATGAAATCTATAATATTGAATTTTATTTTTATCCAAGACTATTTATGGGACATAAAAGATTTTAACAATATTTTTTCAGAAACATCTCCATCTTAATATAATGAGATTTTGAATATTACTAAAAAAAAAAAAATTTAGAGATGGATGTAAATTTTGGTTTTAAGGAATTCATTGCATTTGTAGTAAAAAAAAAATGTGATTTAAGTATTGTTGATAATGAGTGTTGGGTATTTTATGGTATAAATGGACATATAAGTAGTCTGCACTGTGTACATAGTTTATGTCTACTTCAATTATCTAGTCACAGTACTTAATATACTAACAGAGCACACAAAACACTTTAGTAGATAAGGCCATTTCAAAATAATATTTGTCTTGAAAAGCAAATATGGAAACTTATTTCTGCAAATATCTTAAAATATTTGATTTTTGAGTTGAAATCATATATTTCTCTGACAGGAAAGAAGTAAAGTAAAAGTGGTCAGTTGTTAATTGTTAAAATGAAAGTGCAATATTGTTTGAGGACCAAGTTTGTTTTATGAATAAAGATGCCAGCATAAGGCCATTTTACTAAAGATGCATCATGAAAATGATAAGACTCCTGTCAAAATAACAAAGTTTGCTTGAGTGAAATAGAAGGGTAAAGGTAGTTTTGTTACAGGGAGAAGTCTTGATAAAGTTGAAAAAAATCTGACTAATTTGCTTGTTTAATCATTGTGAAAAGTTTAGAAAGTGGGGGCTGCAAGGACAGAGGTAGAAAGTTTCTGACCCATTTCTTCCTTTAGTTCAGGCCATAAAACATTTACATAATTCAGATAATATGGGATCTCCTCATAGGCAAAATCATCTGATAACTCAAGGTTTTGTGTGTCTCGTTTGTTTTATCCTCTAATATATTGGTAATTTTAGTTAGATTAAATTAAAACAATTTTTAGTGCTTAGTAATTTTTACATACAATTACTTTCACAGTATGCCATGTTACGGCATGAAGAATGTGTGAAAATATTTTGCCTTCATTTATTGTCCATTTTGTTAATCTTACCAGTTAAAGGACTGATCCGTGTTTATTACTTGAAAAATTTGTAAATTGTAATGTTTTTTCATAAGTAATTTGTCTAAATTAACATAACATAAATTTCATTTGTACAAATGTAAATTAAGAATCATGATATTACATTTTCATTACATATTGCTCATTAATGGTGATGCTGAATATCATTTCTTCATTTGATGTCCCTCTAAATGTGCCCTTGTAGACTGTTAATGTGATCCCGATAGCTATATTTATATTTCTTTATTGAACACAGCTGCCTTTTAGTCTATTTTATCTTATTATTCAATTTTTAAAAGACTTGTTTTTTGTATTTATACTATAATTAATATTTCTTTAATTTTCAATTCACCTCAACAAAGCTGAAGGAGAACTTTTTAAGTACCTTTGACATCAGTGTATGCTTGCATCTTCACAGCCAACTAAAAGGGAGATTATCTTGTAAATTTGCATATAAGGAAGCAAAATGTATTGAAAGAAGGTTATGAGACTAGTATGGTTCAATGTCCATCTTGATATCTCAGTAACTAAAAGTAATGAGATTACTCAAAGTGTGTAAACATGCATTTTGGAGTTTCAAGTCAGCATCCAGTCGACAGTGGGTTTCTGTTACCTACTTTTCATGCTTCATTGACTTAGTAAAGTTGTATATCAGCATCATATCTTGACACCTATAAGTAAGAGGATCATCTCAAATTGTTAAGCAATTCACCTTTGTGAGTTTTTCAGCCTTCAGACAATAAAAGGTCACTCTGACCTATAGTATATACTTTATAGACTTTGGTTAGGTTTTACATCCAATTTCATATTGCATTGTCCTTATGAAGTAGGACCATTCATTCTTGTATTGAGATTGGTCTTGGGTAGTAACATAGCATTCAGTCAAAATGAATATTGAGACAAACTTTGTAATCATAGATTACCTATGTTTATATGTGTGTACAATTCCTTTTTATGACATATACAATGAGTTTTAAATGGCACTGATGTATTTTCTTTGTTAAATTGTTAAAAGAACAATCTATTAATGATACCGGTAAAAAAACTTTTGTTTCATATTGCAGTTTACATTTATAATACAAATTCTATTTATTTTTGTTGTTATTTATAAGAGTTTATTAGATAACAAATAGCTATAGAATTACACATATTGTGATGATATGATATGAATTACAATCCATGACAAAATGACCTGTTATTAAGAGACAGGTGTGATAAGGGACAAACTTGTAGACTTGGTTGGTAAAGGCAAATATATGAAATTACTTTAAACAAAATACATTCTGCTTGCTTTTAAGGGGTTGAAAAAATTTTCAATGAAGTATCCTTTAAACAGTTAGGTCAATCATCAAAATTCTAACAAAGGAAATGATTTGGATCAACAGTATTAGATTCATTTAATTACCAGTTTTTAGGGAAACGAGTAAATAATATTGTGATTAATTTTGGAGAACTGAAAGGTAGTTTCAAACTTGATATTCTTTTTCAGAAAGTAAACCGTAACAACAGGACAATATGACCTGTCAATTTTCATGTACAATATAGTTTTAGTTTCTTAACTATTAGAGATTGTCTGTCCTCAGAAATACACTTATAAACAAACTTAATTAAAAAGTTTAAAAATTCAAGTAATCTGTTCATATTTTTATTACAATCTCACTTGGACTATTTGAAAGAATGTATTTCAATTTCAGACTTCAAAACAATTTTTTTATTCTTTTTTTTAAAACTTCTTATGGTTTGATATATAATTTGTTTTAATTAAAAATTACATGACTGCTACTTAATTTCATCATCACATGTCATTAAACTACATGAAAACCAGTCACAAAAATATAATATTTCACTGTTCCATTGATGCATTCATTAAGATTTAGTAGTTTTATATTCGAAAGGGAAATATGTAGATTGAGATCTCCTTAATCCAAAATAGTAAACATCTTTGATAACATTACCAATGTTTATGCTTCTTTTCCTTTCCAAAAGTTTTGGATTGTTTTTTACACACCATTTTTTGAGTCTGATGGTTTTACCATTAGTAACTAATTTAATGATGATAAACAAGGATAAAATGATTGCCTTTCTTCCAACCCTGTCATGAAAAATGTATTTTTTGTGTTGCTGCTGATTCACACTGTAGCACAAGATTTTTTACTTTTTTTGATTTTATGAAATTATGGTTTTCTTCATGTAAGATTATGTTGACTATGACAATAGTATTTTTCTAGATTTTCTTCTAGTTGCTATAGAATTTCAAAATATGTATAATTACTTTAATCACAGATTTAAATTTTTATTTATTAAAGTTCGATGTGAAAGCATTCAAATCAAAATTAGTGTTGTAAATTTTTCACGACATTTAATCATATAAGCATTGGTTAAAAGCCATGAAGTAAGACCATCTATGTCAGATTTACTGTACCTAGCTTAAAACTTATTTTGGTTGTTTTGTTTTTTTAAAGGAACTTTTCGTATTTTGCTTTTCAGTGTTCCTTATATAAATATTCCATGGCAAAATTATAAGTTAAACCAATCCTATTCTCTGTACACATTTTAAAAATTAATGGGGAATAAAACAAAATTTGGCTAGATGGTCAAAAAGACCCATTTTTTAAAAAAAAAAACTTTCAATTGCAGGTAGCTGTGTTCTGAGGCTGCATTAGATTATATCTCTGATTCTTGTATTCATATGAACAAACAGATTCTATTTTATTTCAAAGTACTTATTTTTTGTTCTATATTGACTTTGTGATAATTTATAATATTATATTTGTCTTTTTATGGATATGTATATGTATAAAAATCTATTTTTCTGTTGAAAAAATCTAATCTTAATCTACTTGTACCGGTAAACCGAATGAAATATGTACTGAGAAGATGATAATAGTGTTTACTTTTCCCATACAATATTTCAGAATCGTAGCTAATTTAGTATAGCCTTTTCATGTAAATACATCTTTTGTATGTATGTCCAATCTTTTTTTAGTCCGGCTTATTACCGTTGTAAAGAGGGATTCATCACTGTTGTCATCTGTTTGTCACATGACCGTTGTCCAGGCATCGAGACTTCTCGTTAAACTGGAAATAAATATGTACTTACATTTTGATTTCTTGTCTTATTTGTCACATGTTCAATAGATATATCTATGAGTAAAATTACACAGAATCTTTTTTAGATCTGTTCTGTAAACAGTTCAAGGCATGTCCACTTATTAAATAATAATCAATAAATGTAATTGATCAAATTTTACTAAATAAGAGCTATATTTTATTTTTATTGTAAACTACAGTAAATTTGAACCCCTTTGAGCTTTGCAAGTTTTGCAGGATAAGTTATTAAGCCAGTTTACCCTCTTAATTTTCAGAAGTCATTTAAATATAAAGGAATCAAAATGTGTTTGTGTTGTCTCATTTAGTGTCCATTATGCTAACTTGATTGTACAGGCATTGAAATAATATAAAGATGTTATGTTCTTGAGGACTGTAGTTAAGCCTTGATTTTTGTATGGGCTCATATTGCTTCATCTTCAGTTCCTGTGTGTTTTTTTTTGTCTCACCTCTATGTAATAAAAGCAAGATGAAGGCTTGGAGTTTCCAGTGTCGATGGTGTTAACAATGTATAAGTATGCGATTAGGTCAGTTTTTCGGGAAGCACTTGTGGTAAGTCAGTGATAATTTGTATGCAGTTCTTTTAGCATTTGCATGTCTCATTTCCATGGAGATTATATGGCTTCAGCCCTCATCATGGTTTATTGACTTTGAAACTTTTGCATAGTTTATATGTTCAAGTTTGTGTTAAGGTCAGTTTTAAGGAAACCACTTATGATAAGTCAATGGTTTCTGGTATGCAGTTGTAAATTTCTCATTATCACAGGTTATTTATCCCTGCACATTCAGTCGTGGTTGACTTGGAATGTTGTTTTTTTTTCTATAGTTTTCATGTTAACATATTGTCATCAACATTTACATTATGCTATCAAAATAACTAATAGGTGAGACATATCTCTGTGTAAAAAGTTTATAAGGATAGCTGTTTAGTCTTTTACTAATTTCTTTTGAACTTGGTGTGAACAGACACCTTTATATCTTTTTTATACCCTGCTTGCAATAGTAGGGTAGTGCATACTGTTTGTGGTCTACATCTGTCTGTCTGTCTCTTATCAGGTTAAAGGTATTTTACAATAAAGATTGTGGTCATATCAACTTGAAACTAAGAACACAATGAAATTATGATTAGAACTTTATAACAGACATGTCAAAGTGGAGATTTGACTCCGATTTTGCAGTTCACAGAACTTGTAAGTGAAATAGTGTGAGCAGGGCACAGTGTCCTATGAACATTCACTTGAAAACAGTTTAATTTTTTTAAATCACTAAATGATGAACACTTGTGCTACTTTTGTATGTACACAAACTAGAATTTGTAAAGTGGCCTATGATTTTGTTTTATGATTTATTACTGATGACAGTCATATAACAAAATCTGTTTCATCAAGGATCTGTCAATAAGTGAAAGTTTTTGGTAGATCTACCTTGACATCTGTTTTATCAAGGTTCTGGTCAATAAGTGTACATTTTTCGGTAGATCTACCTTAACAACTGTTTTATCAAGGTTCTGGTCAATAAGTGTACATTTTTCGGTAGGTCTACCTTGACATCTGTTTTAAATAAGTGAAAGTTTTTCGGTAGATCTACCTTGACATCTGTTTTATCAAGGTTCTGGTCAATAAGTGATAGTTTTTGGTAGATCTACCTTAATATCTGTTTTATCAACGGCCTCTATTTTGACATATGTTTTATCCAGGTTCTGGCCAGTAAAATGATGCAATTGGTGGATCTGCTTTGACATCTGTTTAAGGAAGGTTCTGGTCAATCAGTGGAATATTTTTGCGGAGTTGCCTTGACATATGTTTAAAAAGGTTCTGGTCAATAAGTGAACATTTTTTGCGGAGCGTTCTTGCCATATGTTTCAGAAAGATTCTGGTAATTTAGGCGGAACTGCTTTGAAATCTGTCTTGATTTCAGTTTTAGCAAGGTTCTGATGAATTAGTGGATGTTTTTGGTGGAGTTGCCTTGGTTTAAGTTTAGCAAGATTCTGATGAATTAGTGGATGTTTTGGCGGAGTTGCCTTGATTTAAGTTAAGCAAGGTTCTGATGAATTAGTGGATGTTTTTGGCGGTGTTGCCTTGGTTTAAGTTTAGCATGGTTCTGATGAATTAGTGGATGTTTTTGGCGGAGTTGCCTTGGTTTAAGTTTAGAAAGGTTCTGATGAATTAGTGGATGTTTTGGCGGAGTTGCCTTGGTTTAAGTTCAGCAAGGTTCTGATGAATTAATGGATGTTTTGGTGGAGTTGCCTTGGTTTAAGTTTAGCAAGGTTCTGATGAATTCGTGGATGTTTTTGGCGGAGTTGCCTTGGTTTAAGTTAAGCAAAGTTCTGATGAATTAGTGGATGTTTTTTGGCGGAGTTGCTTTGGTTTAAGTTTAGCAAGGTTCTGGTCAATGAGTGGATGCATACTTTATTTAACCAATTATCGGCCCATAAAAAGCATGTTGCATATAATGGTATGATTGCCAATGAGACAACTATCCACCAGAGTTCAAATGAAGTAATTGCAATCAATTATAGGCAACCGTGTGGTCTTCAACAATAAGAAAAACACATACCGTATAGTCGGCTTTAAAAGCCCCCTACATGGAGAATGTGAAACAATTCGAACGAGAAAAAAGGGCCTAATTTATAAAGAAAAAAATTACGAAAAACACAAATGACAGACATGAACCAACGACAACCACTGAACTACAGCCTCCTGGCTTGGGACAGTCATATTACGAATGTGGCGGGGATAAACATGTTTGTTAAGCAAGGTTCTGGTCAAAAAGTGGATTTTTTGGCGGAGCTTCCCTGACATAAGTTTTTACAATATTCTGGCCCATCTCTGCCTGTTTGAGCTTATGCAGGTCATATTGCGTAACACCGCTCACTTACAATAATCTAAACGATACCAATTTTACTGTACCAGATACATTTCGACAACTAATGTCTCTTGAACAATGATGCTCGAGGCCAAAATATTTGAAAATCCAAAACCCAATACAAACGTTGAAAGTAAAATTATGTTGTCAATTGAAATTTACAGTTTTCCAAAAAAAAATATGCTTGTAACGTATGGGGACGTTGTTTCATGTGTGACAAGGGTATGTTAATTTGTTCCAAAGTGATGTGGAATACTTAGTAGTCTAATAACATTTATTTCATCACGCAATTTAATTCATTTAACATCGATTATGACAACATGGTTCCAAATGCTAATTTCGAACCCATCCTATGGTATCTTTCGCCCCTCTTTTCGAACCCCAAAAACAGACCCTATAAATCTTTTTGATTTAATGATACAAGACAGCAACTGCAACTGACGAATTTTTATACGTAAGATTTTTATGCCCAACCTAGGGGCAATATGTTTTTCGGACTGTGCGTCCATTCGTCCATTCGTCCGTTCGTCCGTCCGTCTGTCCCGCTTCAGGTTGAAGTTTTTGGTGAAGGTAGTTTTTGATGAAGTTTAAGTCCAATCAACTTGAAACTTAGTACACATGTTCCCTATGATGTGATCTTTCTAATTTTAATGCCAAATTAGAGTTTTGACCCCCAATTTCACGGTCCACTGAACATAGAAAATGATAGTGCGAGTGGGGCATCCGTGTACTATGGACACATTATTCTTTATGTTTAGTTTTATAGTATGCTTGGGGGCTATCGCATGCCATGCAGATTTTATAAAAAAAACATCATGTTCAGTCTGTTCGGATTTTCATCAAAATAACACACGAAGCACAACACATGTCATATTCCTTATTGTGACATTGTAAATGAGTTTGGATGATGCACGAAAAGCAGCAGAAGACGATCACCATGTCTATACAACCGTCCAGTTCGTTTGTAGTTACAGCTATTAATCATGGTTTGTATTTTAAAAATCGATTAACGAGATTAGAACATCGGTTACTACTGTTGCCTCTACTATATATACACATTCAGTGATAATTATTTCATGCATATTTAGGACATGGCCAATTTAACAATTTATACAATAGTTTGGTCGGGTTGAAGGGTGGGATTTTAACTGCCAAAAATAAAGGGTGTGTTGGATAAAAGCATAGACTGTGGCACTCACCCAACACAAGGCATCGGATTCAACGTCCCATAAATCCTATGAGTGACTGCGTATTTAATACTATTTATACATCCCATATAGCTAAACGGTTGCCCAGCTTCAGCAAGGAATTTACTACCAGAACAGGGAAGATGAAGTGACCATATATTTTCTATACCACATTCAACCCTCGAGTAACCTGCTCATGATGTCAATGTGCAAATTAAATATTTACTTTTTTAATTTACAAAAGAGACAATTGCTAGCGACAGGAAAGAAGAAAAAATGATGCATAAACGGACCCGGTGACAATCTAAACAACGTGTATGTTCTTAATATAGTATAAATTTTAATATAGGCTTAAACATGTAAATGGTCTTTCTTCGTCGACCTTATCTAGGGTTTAGAAGGTTATACCAACTACTTGCCACTATACATCATGTACTGTGTTACAACCGTAGAAATATCCGACGAGGAAAGGGAAGATAAAAAATTTTGCTAGCGCAAATTTCCAGATCTAACAAAATACTTATATAATAAAATAATATTGATGTGACTGCATGGTAAGTATTATCCTTCACAACAGACAAAACAGCTGAGTGTATGGTTTATAGGGCGGGTAAAACTTATCTGCGTTCGTTAGACCTCTGCTTGCATAACTGATCACATTCTTCTCATCCTGTTGTTTTTTTGGTATAAGACTGCTCCTCATCCAATTTCCGAAGCATCAGTGTGCAGCTCAAATGGTAGGGTTGAATCGGCATGTCCTAATGTAGGTGCTGATTCGAGAAAGAGCTGCAAGGTGGCAAAAGGCTGTCTCTGTCTTTCCCCAGTTCCACGGTATCTGCTCATTATACCCTCGCTATACTGTTGTCCTCTGTCTGTCTGTCCGTCCATCCACCCGTCGGTGCGTTCGTCAGACCGTCCGTCCGTCCCGTGAATATTTTTCGTCGCATCTTTCTCAGGAACCACATTACAAGGATTTCTGAAATTTGGGTTTATATGAGTCAGCTATACCGTGTGATGCGTTTTCAGATTCATCACTCGACAGCTTCCTGTTTACCTTATACTTTAAGCGGGGCGGGGGTATCATTAGTGAGCAGTAGCTCACAGATTCACTTGTTGGTCTTACCTTTTCTTTCTTTCTTGTCTGTTGATGATGCTACCAAATCAGTCGGTGGTCTTTTTCTTGATAAACCTTCTGTGGTATCCTACAAACCCAAGAAAGCATCTGATATCTTCTGGCGATGTTTGTGTTTGCAAAGTGGTAACTTTGTCTGTCATCTCTGGGTCAATCTCCTTCCCTGCCTCTGACATTATGCGGAACACTTCTTGAGAGCTAGCTTCTAGTTGACTTGTCTAAACTTTTCCATCACGAACTTGATGTCCTCTAGCTGTTCTTCATTTGTCTTCTCGTAAACAATAACCTCATCTATGAAGACACAGCATACCCGCAGATTATAGTCGGCTAGACAGTCTTCCATCGTTGTCTGGTAAGTGAATGGGCTGTTGGTTTAACCAAACGGCATCCGGTTGTACTCAAAGAAACCAGAAGAACCGACTATAAAGGCTGTTCGTTCTTTATTAGGTTCATAGATCTTATATGATGGTACCCTGACTTCATGTCCACAGCGGAATAATGGGTTGATCTTGCCAAACAATCCAAATGTTTCTCTATTCTGGGAGAGCATGACTGTCTTTTTCCGGTGTCTGATTAAGTTTACTGTAATCAACACACAGGCGTAGGCTTAAGTCTTTCTTCCTTGCTGATACCACATTAGGGGCAAAAGGACTATGTGATGATCGGATAATTTCTGTATCTAGTAGTTGTCTTAAATGAGCACTGAATTCATCATTTGCTGTTGGTGGTATATGGCGATATCTCTTCTTAAATGGTTTGTCTTCTAGAAGGTCGATCCTGTACGTGTTGTACTGTGTCAGTGTGACCCACATCATCATCCTTCTTGGAAAAGATGTCCATGTAAGAACGGAAAAGTGCACGTCCTTCGTCAAACTGTTAATCAGTAAGACTTGGTGAAAGTCTAGGTTGTTGCTGCTGGTTCCATGGTGCTTGTTCCTATCTTTCGTCGTTCAAATCCAGTTTGGTATGGATTTGATTAGTCATATACCTGATCTCTTGTGGACCTTGATCCTCAGGTTTTGTTGTAATATCTGTGTTGATCTGTGTCTTAGTATCTGTTGCGCTTAGTGTTATGGCCCCTCTCTATCTGTCTTAACACTACCCGTAGTCCATCAAAATCTCCAATGATATCGTACTTATGAGTTTATATTGATTTAAAATATGGTTTCAATCCTGTTTAGATCATTGCATGAACTTTGCCATCCACATCTTGTCGGTGTACAAGTCCTCTGTCTACTGCCTTTCCAATGATTACATAAATGCTGTCTTATTTCTGGATTATATCCTGTACAGTTGCGTTAAGTTCCAACCTCATAGGAACAAGTCCTTCGCCTCTTAATGGTTTTCTTATGGCATTCAACTTGGCATCTTGGTCATACGTCTGATTCTGATTCAGTAAGCACTATACTTCATGTTGGACTTTTTGACTAACAGGTTGATCCCTCTCGTTGTACTTAAAAGCCATGTTGAGTAGAAACTCCAGTGTGACAATCACGGACAAAAAAAAATCAAACATGGACAAAATAAAAATAAAAAACAATTAGTAAAAATAAATTTAAATAGTATTTAAAGAAATGTCTCCAGAAGACGGGAAAACTCCGCACATATATAAAAATCAAATTTGACGTTGAATAATATGAAAGTCTCTTAAATATGAAGAAGTTTAACTACCAAACTTTAACTAAATTTAGGCTGAGTAACCAACCACAGCTTGATAAAATATACTGGGAGACATGAACGAAAACTAAATACAATCTCAGGGAAACTTGAGCTTCTGTCCAGATGTGAAAGGCTCCATCAACACTGTTTATATAATTTAATATAAAATGAAGTACATTTTGCTCTGGAGTTCTCGGTATAATTCACCAAGATTTGAATTCTTAGAAAACGTACGTATTTCAAAAGTTTCCAAACCTAAGAAACATTAATGTAGAAAATATTTTAACCTGGATCATGACAAATGAAGATAAAATTGAGAATGAAAACAGGGAATGTGTCAAAGAGACAACAATCCGACCAAAGAGCAGAAATATTTTATACAGCTAAATAAATATTCTAGATGAGACAGGAAAAAAGAGATACACGTGAACAAATGTCTAAGTGAGTAAATATAACTTACTATGCGGTATGGGTTTTGCTCATTGTTGAAGGGAGTACGGTGACCTATAGTTGTTAACTTCTCTGTCATCTGGTCTCTGGTGGAGAATTGTCTCATTGGCAATCAAACCACCGCGCCTTATTTTTAAATAATGTGTGTTAGTTCATAATCACGGTTCTATATCTGTAGTGGTGTAGGTGTAGACTAAAAGTGGGATCTGAAAGTGAGAAATAAAGTCTTGTCTAGTAGTTAGTAAGTTTACGATAAAAACATGTTTTGCTTAAAAGCATAAAAACAAAGTTTTGTTCATTACCCAGCTCCCATGGCACTGATATTTCTATTTAATTATTTTTAATTATTTGTAATCAGTATGTATTTATTTGGATTGCATATGACGTATGTTTGAATATTGTATGTCCTTTTAATATGATTTGTATTGATTTATATGTTAAAAAAAACGCCCTTCTCTAGGGATAAATTTTTCTTAATTAATAATCCGCGATCACGAATTTTGAAAAACGAAATAAGTGATTAGTAATTCGAGATCACGGATTGGGAAACCGGGATATCGGTCTATTAATCCAAGATCATGGATAATGAATGCGAGATAAAGGGTTATTAATCCGAGCTCACGGGTTAGGAAACGCCCTTCTCTAGGAATAAAAAATGTTAACTAAACTAGACGGCAAGAACATCGAAGAGACGAAATCCAAACTATACAAACAGTGGCACATTACATTGACAGAACTGGCAGATTTGATACTGCTGTTTCTCAATCCAAATCTTAACCAGCGCATATACCCTTTTAAAGCACAGAGAAGAAACTACGTTGAGCAAAACGCACGAAGAGAAAATCTGCACATTGAGACGATTTGTGCCAACAGGCCTTAAGACTGAGGAAACCTAGATAACGGATTAGCAATTCGAAATCACGGATTATCTAACGAAGCCTCAGATCACGAATTTTGTAAACCGAGAAAACTAATCGTTAATTCGAGATAATGGATTGTTAACTCGAGCTCACGGATTGGGAAACCGATATAAGTTATTAACGGATTGTTAATCCGGGATAACGGATCGGAAACCGTGATAACTGATAAGTAATTCCGATCAATTCGTGATCATGAATTATTGAATTGAGATCACGGATTGGAAACTGAGAAAACGAATTGTTAATTCGAGATAAATGCATTAGAGATAAAGAATTATCAATACGAGCCCATGAGTTTGGCCGGCCTGATTGAAATGACATAAAATCTACCGATTTTTTTTAGTTTTTTTTAAATTTTTATACTATATTTAGATGTTAATTTTTTTTTGAAAAATCGGAAAAAAATAATGGTATTTGATAGTCAATAATTATTGCAACAGTCCGTGTCAATTGATATTATTTGTCTTACTCCTTTAAATTCGTTTCGTTTGTCAATTGGTAAAATTTTATAAACCACGTGACAGACGCCATTCGAAGAAATATTTCCCGTTTGCTAATATCTGCAACAAAACAGAAAGAAATCTGCAAGATGTATGAAAACGACAACGACGGATCCCAATCGCCAAATGATAATATGCAACAAGAACAAGACCAAGAACAAGAACAGAGGTTTGCACTCGTCTATTCTTTGTTTTCGAGAGTATAATTTGATTATATTTTGATCGCGTGGTATGATCATGCCATTGTTTGTGCGGCGAGGCCGATTCTTTCTTTGAAATACTCAGTGTTCCTATCTTCCCAACTAAAGCCTTCAGTTTTTGCCTTTCCATAGAAAAACTATAAATACCTCGTGCGTAACAGATAACCAAGTAGATTATTTAAGGTTTATGTGAACCCTTTGGCTAAAATGGCTGCATTTTCACCTCAAAATTTACTCTTGAGTACAGGCAAATCAGTGTATCTGGTAAAGTTTTAAGGCATAGCATGCCCTAGATAAATAAAATTCAAATATATAAAATGTTTTAGAAAATAAAAACTTTAACAGGAATTTTTGCAGTGCACTTTTTTTTCATTCCTCCAGAATGTGCCAAAATAAACTAAGTTGCGAAAGAGGTTTGAGAACTTCCCCACAGGTAATGATTGAAGTGAACTGTATTGATTTACATGGACAATAGATACCTTACAATAATTGGTGATTTAAACTGAAACTGAGTGGACCATATCAAGTGAAATTCAACTGTTCGTTAACTTTATCACCTCCTGCAGGGACGAAAAAAAGTGCACTGCATAATTCAGTTAAGTTTTAAATTTTCTAAAACATACAATGCATAACTTGAATTTTATTTATCTAGGACATACTATGCCTTAAAACTTTTTGAGATGCATAGGTTTGTCTGCACTCAGAGTAAATTTTGAGGTGAAAACGCAGCCATTTTAGCCATAGGGTCCACATGAACCTTAAACTTTAACACATCTACATTGACTACAGGATGATGGTAAAAAACTAAAAATACAAAGATAATCACTTTTACAATTCTGAAAAATATGTATGCTAGACAATTTTATGACATAAATACCTTTCCATACATAAAATTTTAACGAGCGAGGATACTTGTAGAAATCACAATAAACATTTAAAATGAATATTAATTGACGTTCACAATTTATTGCCTTAGTGTATGTTATAATGAAAAACAATTGTTCGTGTAGTTAGTAAGCGTTCTAATAAATGTTTTTATGGGTTGTGGGTCAACGCGCATATTCTTTGAAGATATGGATCAAAAACAGGAAAACAAACCAAAGTCGCATCCTCTGTACTGATGTATAACACTAAAGTGAATGTCAGATATATAAAAAGAGTTCAACTTTCGCCATGGTTGGCTCAAGATTTCGATTTCAGTAAATGTATGACATGGAGCGGATTCCAAAACAAAGGGCAATAATTCCAAAAAAAGTACATATGCAGCGCCGGTGACATTACATTCTTTATCGTAACATACAGGTTTTTCTACCAGAAACAGGTTGGGAACAAACCCTCTATATGGTGTTTATACCTGTATAGAGGGATTATCCTTCTATAGAGGGATAAAATTTTCTCTCTACAGAGGGATATATTTGTTTTAGACTGGATTTAAAGCAGGAAGATGACAAAATGGCATTTTCTAGTTAAATGTATATTGACTGTAATCTAGTGCAGAATATGTATCAATTATTGCACTTTACTAAAATTGGGATGCTCAGTTTTCTGCTAAAGTGACAGAACTTGCAATCTATTGTGTACCTATATGAACACCTGATCAACAACAATAGCGACATTTGACCTTTAAATTTTATGTCAATTCTAACAATAGAAATCTGTTCATTGAGGCATAACTGAGTGGAATTTACCTAATCATCACAGCTTTATGATGAACAATAGTTGTATACAAAGATGGTCAGTTTAGCAGTAAACTAGACATGTGCATATTAAATTAAGTACAGCAATTGGTGCATCAAATGTTACAGGTTACAACCATAATAAGTAGCAAATGCGCAATTGCCATGTTTTGTTTAAAATCCAGTCTATATAAAACAAATATATATCTCTATAGAGGGATAATTTTATCCCTTTATAGAAGGGTAATCCCTCTATACAGGTATAAACACCATATAGAGGGTTTGTTCCCAACCTGAGAAAGGGGGCTTTTATGGCCGAGTGGTTTAAGTAGTTCAACCACTGTACTATTAACCTGTCAACACAGCCTCAGAGGTTCGAGCATGTGGCAGGTGTGTTTGACTCCAATCTTAATAGAAAAGGATTGACAGTTTTCCTGCTGAAGGTCATGGTTCGCTCCTTGCACTCTGACTTCCTCCACTAATAAAAACTGTCTGCCACAAATAGCCAATAATGCTGAAAGTGGCATCCAAACACCAAAAATCAATCAATCTACATGTACCTTCCACAAAACTAATGGCAATCTTATAAATTATTATCTAGAATCACTGAAAAAACTATTAAAAATTTTGTAGTGGCCAGTAAACCTAAATATATGGTGTCAAAGAGATATGATCAACAAATATTGCTGTTAACTATAGCTGGAGAGACTAAATATTTCAGTAACTTTTAGTTCGATAAAAAAAATTAATTGAAAATTGATAAATTTTGTAGTGATCGAAGAAAAAAAGGTCTTTTCAGCATATCCCCGAATTGGCTGTGGAAAAAAGCTCTTCCATTGGAATGTCCCAAAATCGTCTGGGTGTAAATTGCGTTCTTTGTAAAAGAGTTTTTGTGACTGAAAAATTATAAACAAATTGCCAGGTTAAAAATTATTGGGCTCGCAGTTCAGTTGATGAAATGCAACCATAAACTTGATATACAAACGTTTATGACAGTTTAAGACTCAAAACATTCGAACAACGGTTCCAAGAACTTCATGACGAGATTGATTGAAGAAAAAAAAATATTTAAAAAACAATCCTGACCCTACTGTTTTCAGGCATGCCACAAGAAACACACCTATTTATTTGACCTAAGAATATTATATCAAAATGCATTTTGAAGTTGTCATGTATTTCTGTATAAAAATATTAGGATCTTCCTCTAAAATATTGATCTGAAGATAAATTCAAGCCACCCAAGCAAATGTTTGAACCAGTCTAATTTGCTGAGTATGCTATTGACAATGCTTTATACACATGTAACAAAACACAATCATGCCCTTGTATCATAGTCTAACCAAACCCTTGAATATTACAGATCAGTGTCGAGATCAAGATCAAGGTCACCCGTAAGAAGATCCAGAAGTAATGGAAGTAGGTCAAATTCTAGATCACCTAGGCGGGACGAAAGACATCGTGACAGAGCCAGAAGAATTAATTTGATCTCAAAAAGAATTATTATCAGTAACATTCCATATGAAATGAAGTGGCAAGATATCAAAGACATATTTAGGAAAGAAGGTGAGGTTTATAGTGTTAAGTCTATAGTCATGAAATTGTGAAGAATTAATATTTATTGATGATCTAGTTGATCAGTCACTACTGTTATCCACCTGTTTATAATTACTGCTACAAATACAGTGTCTTCCCTAGAAAAATTTTCATGCATGGTGGGTCCATGGTGGATTTGCAACGGGGCGCACAATGTTTCTTTTTCAGAATTAGTTACACTACATAATTTATATGTTTATAGCCATATACCAATCTAATTGTTTTATTATAGGTAAGTCATGGAACTTTAAAGTATTTATTACAGATGAGAGGAATTAATGAGAGACCTTATAAACAATACTAAAAATAATCCAGTCTACAATAGTTATTTACAAATGTAATGTCATGTACACATTATTTTGTTGATATCTTCCTCTGTTTCAACTTTCCAAAGGTCACCACACATTTTTCAAAATCAAAATCTTCCTCCTTTGGTCCTTCAATTGATATATTCATTAAGCAATTCAGCACTTTTTGGCATAGTCTGTTTCTCAAAGGTGTTTTAACTCTGTTTAAACATGAAAAACACCTTTCACAATCAGCTGTTGAAACTTGCAAAACAAGACCAATTGCTGCATACTTAGACAGACAAGGATACTGTCACGGAATAGAAGTTCCTTCATAATATAAGTTCCAAATGGAAACAATATTCTGGAATATTATTTCCACTGGAATAAATATTACAGTAAATGTTCCTAACGGAATAAATGGTATAGAATATTTGTTCCAATGCCTAAATGTCATGTCTTTACATTCTTTCACTAACAGTGTCCTCAATTTGCTGATAGAATGGTTTCAGCAGCAACAGCAAGTTGTTAAATAAAACTTTGAATGTCATCATTGCTTCACAAAGATTTTACAGGAAACAATAAAAAAGTCTATTTGCGTTCATTACAGAAGTCGTCAATGAAGAATACCTGACATACGGATGACATATTTGAAAATTACCTGTTTGGAAGCTAAGCTGACATTTTATTTCATGACAATTAACTTTTTTTTTAAATACATTCCTATCCGATTTATTAATGACGCTTCATAATTGTATCTTGCCGAAGTGAAAGACCACTTGTGTAAAAAACGGCAAATGAATCCGCTATGTGACCCATTGAATTAAAGATAGAACAACACTAGTTTATTAAAAACAATATTTCCGTAAATAACTACGTATGTTTTGAAAGTTTTTCCATCAAATGTTTTAAATATTTCATAAGACACGTCTTTTTCTCGGCCCGGTTGCGGTGATGTGTATTCTTTGTTATAGTCAATCAACCGCGACTAATCTAAAAATAACTGATTGTTGTGACCAATCAAAAAATAATGCATCGATGTAAATATACATTGATATAGCTGATGGAAAAAACTGCGAAACTTTATTTAAAAAAAAAAGTTTTGTCCATTCTCGGTGAAATTACGTTAGTTTTATTTTATAATACCAGAGACTATACCAATTTTTTTTAATTTACTTTTTTAAAGATCACAGTAAAACAACGATGTCAAACACTGGCCCTTTTTTTGGTGAAATTTATACTGGAAAAGGTTAAACTTTTTATTTAGCACAGAAAGATATGCATTGGAGATTAATCTTACTATTTTTTTATCAGCTAACTGGCAACTTCCATTATGTAACCGAAGTCTCGATTTACAAATGTATAACCAACTAATCAAGAAGGTTGTAAAATCCCCGCACGCGCGACGTGATGCATCCAATTATCAGTCAGATGAGTTTAAAACACCTGTGGAGTGTTGTTACTTGTCACTTCACTTTCAAAATATCGATAATAAATATTTTACAGTTATAATTTTCACACATAGCGGCAATGATGAAAGCATGGCGGTCGAAATTTATGTGTAGCGGTACCGCAATGCTTGAATAGCCTAGGGAAAACACTGAAATAACTATTCACATTGTTACATGTGTTAATAGTTCAGACTAAATTCCTTGTCATAGGAAATTTCAACTGAAAGATTTTTATCAAATTACAAAAATAATGAATATTCATTTGGAATTTGAACATCCACTGATTTTCAATAGACTGCTCAATACAAATACAGATACATGTACCTAAAAGAGGCAGAAGATACTAAAGGAACAATAAAAAATCTTAAGTTAAAAAAAGACAGTTCCAAAAAAAAAAGAAAACAAAGAAAAGGACAAAACATTACATATAATCTTATAGCTTGAGCAGAACACCACCCCGAAAAAAAGAGATAAGCCAATCATATAAAATTAGGTGCTCAATACCAGATACAAATGATGTACCATAATACAGAGTTTACTTGTTATTATTGTTAATATAATTAATATAACAACCTTTCAATCTGCTGCTACATATAAATACAGAGATTTCTAATATGTAAAAATAATAGGTTAGTAACACGAATGTAACATTCTCCTTAAACCATAGACGATTAAGTAGAACCAAAAAATCAGTCTGTTCATTCATATTGTTGTTGTCTGCTCTATGGTCGGGTTGTTGTCTCTTTGACACATTCCCCATTTCCATTCTCAATTTTATATTCAATGTTTATCATACATGTAGCAGATAAAGATAAATTCTGAAAACATCTTTTCCTAAACCAGGACATGCTCATTATAGGGAGAAAACAATAATAATCTTAACTGTTCTGATATCATGGATATGAAACCATGATGTCTACACACAATGCATACAAGTAAACATGTAGCTAAAAGATATAACTGGTATAACATTAAAGGAATTGACTTTATGCATATTTTGTTTGATCTTTACAGTTGGAGATGTTACTTACGTGGAATTATTTGAAAACGGTCAAGGGAAATCTAAAGGCCAAGGGTAAGATACAGTTCATTTCCTTTTACTATAACTTTTTATAACAATTTGCTAGTTGTATTGGATAAATGAATACAATGTTTTGGAGTAACAGTTCCAATAATGAAGCTTTAATTTGTGAGGATTAGTTTGAAACTTTATCAGATTTGTCTTGAATGAATTATTCTCATATGAGATTCTCTTACTTGCATAAAAATTGCTGCAAATTGAGACTAGGTTTTGTAGAAGAAAAAAAATCTGAATTATGTTCAATTTTATTTTTATGCACCACCTAGGGGCATTGTGTTTTTCGGTCTATGCGTCTGTCTGTCCGGCTTCAGGTTAAAGTTTTTGGTCAAGGTAGTTTTTGATAAAGTTGAATTCCGGTCAACTTGAAACTTAGTACACATGTTCTCAATGATATGATATTTCTAATTTTAATGCCAAATTAGAGTTTTTGACCCCAATTTCACGGTTCACTGAACATAGAAAATGATAGTGCGAGTGGGGCATCCGTGTACTATGGACACATTCTTGTTTATGTCTGTAAAGCCAAATTGTTTAAAGATTTAAAATTCTAAAAGGTAAAATTCCATAAACATGATACAAGGTTGTGATTTAAGGTTTATTAAATATAATTGTTTTACCGTTTTTTTTACAAGGAATTGAACAATAACTTTTTTCTAATACTGTTTAAAAAATATAACTCATCCGAGATTCCTGAATTTGCAACATGTTCATTAATTTACATTCAGGCTATTAATATGAGAGTGAATTTTCAGATTTACTTGATAATATGTTTCTATAATTTATTTTAACAGTCATTGCTACTACTTAAGAGATCATATGCAAAAGACACACAACAATGTACGCCTACTAGTGTTTTCGACTAGTTTTAAGAGTACCAGCTAAGCAGGTCATATATAAAAAATGCCATTATGAATTTAAATCAGACTGGCCAATCATGTATGGACCCCTAACCAATCAGTGGTATATAAGAAAAATTAAACGACTCTACCCCTTAAAGTATTTTATTTTTAAACATCTGATTTAATTGGTTGATGAAAAGTCTGTTAAAATATTACACCCATGTTTTGTATTATTAATGTATTTCTAGAGTCATTGAATTTAAAGATAAAGACACAGCTAGAAAAGCAATAGAAAACATGCACAGATATAAAATTAAAGACAGGAATATTGTAGTTAGAGAGGTTTGTATTAAACAGTAACTGTACTAGCTAGGTGATTTGTTAGTATCATTTAGTATGGGTATCATGTGCTGATGGCCTAACCGTTTATTTACAATGTGTACCATTGTGCAATGAGAGCTTGAAGATTTAAATCTGAAAACTCAAAATATCTTAGTCTTAGAGGCTGTTTTCAAATTAAGTATAATTTTACAAGTAAATTTCTTATTTTCGAGTCAAACGATCTTTCAAATTTAACAAATTTATACTCAAGTCTTAGTATAAAACATTTGTACATAGACTTGTTTAAAAGAAAATCCTTTATTTTATCCACAACTTCAGAAATGTACTGCTATTGAATTATTGTCTTTCCATACTCTAATTCCCAGACAGCTTTTATAAATGCTGAGACCTTAACTAAACCCGTCCAGTGTTCTCCCCAGGCCGATATGACGCTGCGGTACCGCAGCGCCTTCATAATATTTTTGTAGATCCCGCAGCGTCTTAATTGGCGGCTGTCCCTTAATACTTGATCCCGCAGCGTGTTAATTTTCACATAAATGTTGGTTAACATTGTCAAGTAACTGATCACCGCTGATGGGTCGGTCAGTGTTATGCAATAACTGATAATTAGTTTTACCTGAGCCACGCTTATCTCAGCCTTATCGGACTATGTTATCAGGTAATAGCGTAAGTGATCATCAAGAAGATAGATATTTTTTGAAGAAAATAAAAAATTTTAAAAACTTCAGTGCAGAAATTGAAGAAATAGATCGCAAATACATTGTATTTACGCATCGTGTGTGTGATCACTTGACCATTTATATAACGAATTTTTTCATTGGTCGAGAAGAAGAATCTATTTAAACACGACCAATGAACGTGTTGAATACACATGATAAATTTGAATACACATTGCTAAAGATATTTACGATGAAAACTATGAATGAAAGTATTATTAGTTGAAAAAATTTAAATAAAGTTTGATTAAAGATAACGAGGAGTGATTTACTTTAATAGAAAATGAAAAAATGTTGCTTGCAAGGTAAATTCGTCTGAAACTGTCATATTTTTAGAAATAAAATGATCATTGAACATCAATCGTGAATCCGTGCGTCGGGAAATATGTGACAATCAAAACGGGTACAGTATCGCCACAGCTTCTGTATAATGTCACTGGTAAATAATTTCAATGGTTTTAACTTTCGTTTATATCTATCTGCCAAAGATAGTATTAAACAATTAATACGCACGGAAGCGTAATGTGAAACTACGGAAACTGGTCAGCTGTTCATTTATAAAAAAAAATTGTTTTAAAAAGTTGTATACCAAATATCTTAACCATATTCGATTTTATTAATTCTGAATGAACATGTTCTCTGCAAATAACAAAGGGGTGAATTATAAGTAAAAGCAAGGATTTGTATACAAATCCTTGGTAAAAGGTAGATGATGGAAGTAGAAGTTTTTTTCAGACCAATGACTTCTAATGAAAAGGGGAATACACCTCCGTCTACACTGTCAGTATAAGCAGATTTCATTGCATCTAATCCCAACCAAGCTCAAGTTTTAGCAATTGATAAAAGCAAGCACCATGTTTCTGGTTTCAATGACAAGTGGCTGACTGAGTTTTCATGGCTTAGAAATGTTAAAGGGGGTATAAGCAAAAGTTATTGTGAGTGGGGGTTTAATTTTTAACCCTGAAGAGGATAAAGACAAAGTTGAGGAACAGACTGTCCAACAAAATAACACTATCTAAAAACAATATCCCTAGAAGGAGCAGAGAGTAGAGATGAATATTTATATTTTGACTTCTTTAATTGACTGAATATAAATAACTTTTGTGTTTAAAATCAATTTATTTCATATATATATTCTTGTAATTCATTAATACTCTGCATTATTAAACACATAACACAAAGCATTATAATTCATATTGCATGTCATGATTTATGACATTGCTTCAGATCACTCTAAAAAAAGAGTTACGCGCCCTTGAATTTTGCGCCTTAAAAAAATCCTGGGGAGAACACTGCCGTCACTAGAAATTTGACAATCGCACAGTGCAAGTGCGGAGAGAAAACTGTGATGAAAGGAATAGTATTGACTGATTCTGAAAAGAAATTTTTAATACATCAAATCATGTTACAACTGTTTTGACAAAATTAAAATAACAAATGGGAACGCATGGAAAAAATAAAACAAATAAACAATACTCTGTCAGCTCACTTAATGACTTCCTATACACATGTTCCATGGTTCTGTGTTGGTATATAATCCAATCCTGATCAGTAAACCTAGGCACTGTAGCCAGTAAGTTGATTGTCAGTCCAAGTTTTTGATCAACAATTATCGAATGAAATATGTTTTGTCAATTATACATTTTTGATTGGTTCAATAATTTCCTTATAAACATTGTATTCACCAGAAACCTGTTTCATATGACTTGAAAAATATTTGTAAGCATGAGTTTTTTTGTAAAACTTTGCTAACGTTACGTAAGAAGGAATACACTGGTACCTTTCATTACAAACCTGTAAACACTTGTTGCACCTCAAAAGGACATTATCACTTGATTTATTCTTTTTCATAGGAGAGAGAAAGTGACCGTAACATTATAGGAGGACGTGGCGTAATGGGAAGTGGCCCTTCAGGAGGCATGGGAGGAATGATGGGAAGTATGGGTGGAGGAGGAGGAGGAGGTATTTCACCTCAAGTATTATCTCAGCTGGGGATTGATGGACCAGTAACTAATCAAGTGTTTGTGTCAAATGTAGGTATTGATATGCCTATCCAAGGGAATTTACACTTCTGTTTTTTTAAAGACGTTTTTTCCTTTATTGCCGTTGCATGACAATAATCATGGATCAACAATCAGAGATCAAGGTCAAGGATGTTTGCTCCTCTTGTTTCAAAATAACAAAATTTTTAAAGGACATATAAATTGATAGAATATAAATAAGGGAACTTAAAAATTAGAAAAAAAATGATAGGTCTGTGTCCTTGTTTTTGAGATATAATCAATTGAAAATTTGGCAGGAAACGATTCTCTCTAGATTTTCCATGCATTTAACATTGGCACATGTTTTCTTCCAAAAACAATGAAAAAATAACAAGGATTTCATAAAATTTTAATAAATGGAGTTTTAAACTATTTATTATAAAATTATGAAAAGAAAAGTAGGGGTTAGCAAACAAATTTTTTACTGGCACTACATGGATAAAACTAGAGAATCTGGAATATCTAACAGAAATTCAAAAACAATAGTAGCGAACATCCTTAAGTTTTCATGGATAAGTTCTTCTTAAATACTATAAGCAATAGGGCAACTATATCTGGTGCATCGAATGAATCTAGGCAAATGTGTCGTTCTGGCAGAGTTGATATGACATTGACCTCATTTTCGTGGATCATTAATAAGCTTCTATTATACCTGTAGTATGACCTTGATTTTGAAAGACTTTCAACATAAAATTCAATCCTAATGAGTAATGCAGGCAACACATTTCAGGATGATATATTTGTTGTATTTAGATTAAATTTATGTTGTTATATAAGAAATTTCTATAAATTCAGGAGACCTGAGGAGTTATTTTACAGACATCCATGCCTTTCCAATTATGATATTCTTCAATTCTAGAGGTCTTTCATGAAACTGCAAGCCTTGACCAAGTGTATTGAACTTAATTATAAATGCATGCTCTTAATGGCAACGTTTGTATTTTCAGCTGGATTATAAAATAACTTGGAAAAAGTTAAAGGATGTGTTCAGACTTGCTGGAAATGTAACAAGAGCTGAAATAAAAGAAGACAAAGATGGAAAAAGTAGAGGGATGGGAACAGTAACTTTTGAAACTCAGTTTGAGGCAGTTCAGGCTGTTTGTATCCTTTAATACATAACAACAGACATAAAACCCATTTATATAGTGAAAAATTAATAGATTACTGTCTTAGACTAGGAGAGCTATTGCATCTGTGGTCACCAATTATCGTAGTGACCTTTTAAAAAAAAAAAAAAAATTGAACCACGCAACCAATTTCAACCAAACTTGGGCTGAAAGATCCTTAGGTTCGAGTATCTAGTATGATTTTTCTTCCCCTACCAATCACCCCACATGTTGTCATGGCTTGAATAGAAGACATGGTTAAAATACAAGTAATTGTTTATTATCTTAAAAAATCATTACAGATTGTGAAAATGTCTCAAATGTATGAGTTGTTGCCTGTAAATGAAGATATTTTCTGCAGTTTTGGCAATTATCTTGAATCCTATGATAGAAATAGAGAAATTGTAAAAAAATTATCAGTGAATTAAGATCTACTTGACTGAAGTTGTCAGTTTACTTCTTTAAGGAATTGTTGCCCTTATCAATGGTAAGGGTAGGGAAGAATTGGAGAAACATTTCTATGCAAATAAACATAGTTGTTGAATATTTCACCCAGTTTTTAAAATTTCAAATATCTTTTCATTCTAAATTCTTTTGTTCTGCAAGCTTTGACATATCAAGTTTAAATTGAGTTCATTTTTCTTCTATGTACTTCAAACTACTAATAAGCTAAGATTTCATATCAATCAAGTTTGACTCATCAGAGTAAAAACTAAATGCCTCAGAAGAAACAGAATTTTTATCAACACTGCCAAAGTATCTGGTTTTATCCCAAGTTTTTGACAATACCAAGTTTGGACAGAACAATGTTTGACAGTATGATCTATTAAATGAAGTTTTAGCCTTTGATTTTTATACAAACCGACTGAGCTGAAGTGATAATTTGCTGATGAATCCTTAACCTATTTACAGCCATGTTTAATGGACAAAGTCTTTATGACAGATCAATGAGAGTAAAGATGGATGCAATGGGAGCTGCAGATAAATCTTCATCCATGCCACTCCCAAGTAAGATTTAACTGGGATAAATACATGTATACATGTTTGGCTGTTGTCTGCTCTTTGTTCGGGTTGTTGTATCTTTGACATATTCCCGATTTCCATTCTCAATTTTATACCCAAGTTTCTATTGTTCATGTATATTAAGTATTTAATAACATTTTGGAAATTACTTTTCTTTGCATCAATGCATAAGAAAGTTACTGATATTTTTATGCCCCACTTAGGGGCATAATGTTTTTCGGTCTCTGCGTCCGTCCGTCTGTCCTGCTTCAGGTTAAAGTTTTTGGTCAAGGTAGTTTTTGATGAAGTTGAAGTCCAATCAACTTGAAACTTAGTACACTTGTTCCCTATGATATGATCTTTCTAATTTTAATGCCAAATTTGAGTTTTGACCCCAATTTCACGGTCCACTGAACATGGAAAATGTTAGTGTGAGTGGGGCATCCGTGTACTATGGACACATTCTTGATTTAATTGATTTTTTACATCTGTTAAAATTCAATCTAAAGAGAAGGAAACCCTTGTATAATTCCTACATCAAAAGTATTTTATTTATAGGTGGCCTGAAGTCAATCGGTGCTGGTTTAGGACCTGGTGGTACGCCCTTACAGAATGCTAATACAAATATGGGATTTTCAGGTTTGTAGAAATCTTTTGTAAAGTGAGGTCCTTTTACTGAATGAGATATATATGGAAAGAAGGTCTATCTATAAATAATGTAGGGGGCTTGCTAGTTGTTACAAATATAAAATAGATTTTGTATTAAAACAGAACAAAAATTATATATATTTTATGTATCATGTGTATGAAGTGTCTCGTTCTGTCGTTTAGGATTTTTGTGTTTTTTGTTTCTTTGTTAACAAAAAGTTTTGCTATTTACATCTAAATTTATACAAAACTTACTGTAAATTGTACTAACATTTGATATCGTCTGTTTTCCAATTGTAAAAAGGTATCTAAACATATGTTTACAACTACTTCATAATACTACAGTAATAATCAGTACTATATGATAACATGTAAGTTCTCTAGGTGATAGATGGAATTCAATCAAACAAGGCCATTACTGGAAAAAGAGAATTATCACCTTATTTCTTGATTGCTTGCCGGTGGCTGTACATGTTTTGATAACACAATCAGCTGATCATTGATTTTCGATCGTTTTCAAATTATATGGTCACATATTTTGTTAACGGTAAACACCCTTGAACTGGTTTTTCCAAAAAGGAAATCCAATGAGATATTATAGATGAAAAGGGCAACCTCAATGATAGAAAGAAAAAAATCTTTTTGCCAATTGTTTCTACCAATTTGGCAACTGCCAGCATAAACCCTGTATATATGTTTAAAATGCATACTTTAACACAGTTTTGGTAAAAAAAAATATACATATTTTATAAAGTATGAAAAATATGTTTTGTTGAACATGTTGATGGGGCAAAATCATTATGAAATTTTTCCTTTTTCAGGAAGTGGCGGAATGGGGATGGGAGGTGGAATGGGTGGGGGCATGGGTAATATGGGCAGCAGCAGTATGGGTGGAGGTATGGGAATGGGAATGGACAGTGGAATGGGTATGGGCAACATGGGCATGTCTAATATGGGCAGCGGTATGGGAGGTGGCAGCAGCATGGGCATGGGTAACATGGGATCTGGCAACTATGGCAGCAGTGGAATGGGAATGAGTATGGGCAGCTCTGGTATGGGAATGGGCAACATGTCCAGTGGAATGTCTGATTACGGCAGTATGGGTGGCAACTCTAACTATAACTCATCAGGATATGGTAGTAGCATGTCTGGTGGAATGGGTGATGGTATGAGAGGAATGGGATCTGGCATGAATAGTGGCAGTTCTATGAGTGCTTACAGCACAGGAATCACTGACTTGGGTGGATCAATGGGAGGTTCCTCAGGATATGGTGGTGGATCCGGTCGTAGTGGAACACAATCCTACTCCACAAGTAGTGGCAGGAGCGGTGACAGAGATCGAGATGGTGGTGGTAATCGAAGCACACGCCCAGACAATTGTACAGTTGTTGTAAAAAATGTAAGTACTTCAACTCCTTCCGTTTCCCTATACACTTATCGATAGGGTGATTAATAAAACACTTTAGTATAGGTTAAATGAGAGGATTAACTTTAATAAGGGTGTTTTTCTTTTAAACATCACATTTTACTTGATGGGGATTTTGTTCATAAACATATAATTAGATATTACTGGAATAATAATTTTCTTAAAAAATGTAAAACTTTAAAAGTTTATATTTGCCAGTCAGCTTAGAGTTGTTATAACATGTACGGGTAGAGTGACCTGTTTCTGTAGACTTATCTTGTGTGTTAACAAATAAGGTGTATTTATATAACATTTACAATGCATGAAGTATTAGCTACTTGACATTGAACATTGAATAATAATTCAACAAAAAGATTACAAGCTTCAGTCTAAATTTAATGTCTTTTTCAGCTACCTTGGAAAGTTACCTGGCAAGATTTGAAAGAAAAATTCAGATCTGTTGGTAAGTTTGTTGCTGCACAGTTATAATGGTTATGATATGTTGATGTAAAATCAAATCTATATATTTCCTTAAAATACAATGTTTTTCACTATGAAATGGCAAGTGCTACTGAAGTTCTGTCCCCTAATTAGAGTAAATATATCAGAATGCTGATAGACAAGATAGTTGACCAATATATGTTTGATTTACTGATGACTTTATTTCTATGGAAAGAAAAACCAGCCAACCATCTTAACATTTTATACTTATAGATATTTGCAACTCTTCTTCAACCCTTAGAAAAGATTTCTACAGTTCTAGCTTTTGTGCCAAGACTTGATTTTTTTTAATAGACTTTGGATGATTATTCAAAAAATGATCTTTTTTTTTACGAAGGGTTACCTTAACTTATTTTTGTCCAATTTGTGAGGCTCTTGAATATGACTTCACCTAATAATACTGATTACCATTCTAAACATATTTAATTAGTATTGAGTTAACCTTTTGAATTGTGAGTATAATTTATTGTAGCTGATGTGAAATTTGCTGAAATCAAGATGGAGAATGGAAAGTCACAAGGCTGGGGGCTTGTCAGATTCGGTTCTGCTGATGATGCACAGAATGCTATCTGTATCCTTTTTTGTTTGTTTGTTGTTTTTGCTTAACATCCAGTGACTCATTGAGTAATAGTTTTAATCTAATTTGCAAGTCTATGGTTTAAATCTGCATTCCTAAAAGAGCTTGTTTGAAAATTGTTTTGAATTTTTGTGAAGTATAAAATCTGTTCTGGATTCAGTTTTTCTTGTATTTTAAACAAATAGGAGAAATATGTAGAATTGGAAAAATTTGTCAAGATTGATTTGTATGCAGCTCTGCATTCACTGATATGTTTTATATCTTTTATACATCAGGAACATAACAAATATAGACTTTCTGCTGATGTTGTTGTAGTCGAAAGTCGTCCTTGCTTGGTGAAGATTACTATATAATATCAAATTTTAAGGGATAAACACTGAATATACTTTATTAGTATTCCAAGAGAATTATAATAATACAATTGATATACAAATAGACCTTAACCATTGACAGCTATGATGAACAGGACAAGGATTGATGGCAGAGAGGTTGATGTCAAACTGTACCGTTAAAATAATAACGGTACGAGGATATTAACATTTTTATATGGAACTATCATTTGGACCAATTGTTTTCATTCGTTGTCGAGCCCTATCTTGGAAAATAGTGGTCATGTATTGTTGGCCCTTTAGTTGACTTGTAAAGTTGATTAATGACATTGTGGATCTTTACACATTTATATGTATTGATAGAATTTGTATTTTTAGCTATGAGTGGTTGTCGAAGAGGGCAACCATGGTTGTTGAAACATTTTTAATTTCATTGTCATAATTTTGTGCAATTGTGCCATTGTTAATGGAATCAATTCATATGTATGTAATCATGTTGTTTTGGTGTCCACCATGCTGAAGAATAAAATTCATTTCTTATGGTTCATATTTTACTTGGTTACATAGAACTTATTTCAACAAGAATTCTACAGTTTTTATGGACTTTTGGGTTTCAGTGGGAAGCATTAATTAAAAAATCTAATTGGTTATGCCTTGAAAATTCTTCTATTTGATGTGGTTAGCAATCAGATCAATTAAAACAAGTCCTTAGAAATCTTGGAAGTTGCTTTCATTGTCAAATTTATCATGTAGTATTTCCTCAAAATGTTTTCCTTTTATAAGTCTGATGTTAAGTTATTCTTGTTGAAATTTGTATTAATTTGTCATGACTGTTTTATTATGGAATGATACTATATGTCTTGTTTCTTAGCAGTTTCAGGATTTGATATTTCACAGGACAGGTAGAATTGATTTGTATTTGCTTTTAAAATCATCAGCTTTGGATTTTATCTTATAATTAAGTCATCAAATGAGAGCATAAAATATTCCAATGAATAGAAAAAAAAATATCTTGAGATTGATTTGATAAGAAAACTTTTTCTGATCAATGCAAATGTGGATGTTGGCAGGCCAGGTTCCTGCTATCTTAATTCTGTATGATAGACTAATATCAGTAGATGTATTTTGAAAAGTAGAGTACTATATAAAATGCTTGTGGATTAGGTGCTATCTTCAAGGAATCACATTGCTGAAGTGTTCCAAGAATTAGTACTTGATGATCAGATGTGAATGTTATCTTCAGGACTTGCATTATATTTTGAAGGAGACGCAGTAAAGCTTAACTAAAAATAGAATACTAAAGTCAAATGGCTATTAAGTCTCCATAGTGGATTCAAATAGAATATTCAAAGACTGATGGCTCTTATGTTTCCATAGCCGATTTAGATCTGAATTTTGTTGGAATTATATAAGAATCCATATCTGGTGTTTATTTATTCCAGACAAATTTTTAAATGTATGGAAAATTGGAAGTTTTTCTTAAAATGTGATTAACAAATAAGTATCAGATTTATGGATGTTCTGATTATTATGGTTTAAAAAAAATTGATACCTTATATTTAGTGGATTCTTGTATAAATGTATTCGGTGATTGTAATGAATTTGATGAGTATTTTGATGTTGTGTCTTTACATTTTGACAGATTTATACTTTTTTGCTGTTTGCTCAGTATTTCTGTAGCTAGAAGATTGTCTGAGGAGAGAGATTCTGGGTTTAATATAAGGGTTGGGTTTATGGATTAGGGGAAAGGGAATGGGATTTTGAAGTTGAAGAATTTGTACATTGTTTACTCAGAAGTATCTATCCTTTGTGTTGTGGAAAGATGGTCTCCATAGATGGATCTACTTGTTCATTCTCGCTTTGGAATGATATACAGAAGGTTTGGTAATGTTTAAATTTTCCAATTTTATTGCTGGTTCAAGGTAAATATTGCTGTTTTATATTCATAAATGTTTGTGTGTCTAGAAAATTGTATGCTAGGGACACGAAGTCTGAGGGTTTTATAGTTTATATCTGTTTCACAGTCAATTTTGCATGTGTTAGAAAATCGGTGAAATTTTATTGGAGTAAAGTTTTGAGCAGCGTTTTTCATGACTGAAAATTCTAGTTGGTCAATCCATGAGAAAATTGTGCTCAGTTAAATTGTAAATGTTTGGTACAAAATAATAAGGATAATGCATCAAAAGTTAATTACAATATTTTAATGATTTCTTTATTTAATCAAGTCAAAGTATAACTGACAAATTTACTTTAGAATATATTGAAAAGCAAAGAAATTGTTTATATTTTATTCATTATTGGTCAGATTTAAAGCATTTTATACCTTGATTTATAGGTCCTTTTTCACCTCCTTTAGAGCTTTAAAGGAAATTGACTCAGTGATGCATAAATGAAAGATATGAAAGTCTGCAGTTTACCAGAAATGAAAAACAGGTATTTATGATATAAACTAGATTTTGATGGACGACTGAACTCATTTTTCAGCTTTATAGCATGAGGGTCAAAATGAAGTTTATATCATGCATTTTATGCCCCCGCCGTAGCGGAGGGGCATTAAGTTTTACCCTTGTCTGTCTGTACGTCCGTCTGTACGTCCCAAAGTTGGTTTCCGTTCTCTAACTTAAGTTTCCCTCTTCCAAATGTTATGAAACTTATACACAATGCTTATTACCACAATATACAGATCAAGTTTGAATTTTGGTGGTGTCACTTTTACCGTTCTAGAGTTATTTCTTTTTTTCTTCTTAAAATATAATAAAAAGTATGGGTCACTGCGCTATATTTCACGCTACTGGTGAAAACTACACCATAGAATTTTAAGATAAAATATGAGAATATAGCTCTAATAATATGCTTTCAGATAAGAAAAAGAAATAATGGGGTCACGGGACTCTTTTTCTTGCTACATAATAAAATAGGTAAATTCACAACACATTCTATTACAAAAGTTACTTTATCGAGTTATCTCCCCTTGTATCTGAGTTGTCTACCCTTACATGGCAAAATTTTTAAAAAATGAATAAAACAAAAATAATCTGATTTTTGTAAAATACAGCCGTAAATATGATAAATCACAATTTTCTATATTAAAATGAAAAGTCTTACACATGAATTACATACTCATTTCATTAAAGATCTAGACCGATTGTTACCTGCTTTTTCAAAATCCAAGATGGAGGAAGACACCCTATCTACCTTAATACAATTGAAACTGGAGCTTTAACATCTGATTAAAAGAAAATTCAACACTTCATATTTGCTATTAAAACTAATAGTATAAAAATTAAGAGATGTGGTAAGATTGCCAATGAGACAACTATTCACCAAAGACCAAAGGATGAAGATGTAAACAAGTAAGGGTCAACATGCAAATCTAACCAAAAACCAAAATTATTTATTGTTAAGTATATTTGAGCTTAATTGCAAATTAATATACCAACAATGATCTGAAGTAAAATTGCAATCTTCAAAGTTTTAAAGTAAAAGATGTCTTACTTTTCACTGTTGGACTATTTCTGCTTTAGAACAGATAATGAAATGACATTTCCTGGCTACCTTTACATAACGCATTTGAGTATTGAGCTGTAGTTGGTAATTGTGAAAAATCAAATTATCAATAGGTACCATCTCAGCTTGCTGCAATGAGTAATGAATGGAAATTTATATAAAAAAATAATAGCTCAATGATAACAAAAGTAACAGCTTTAATAGACAAATTGTAAGTTAATTAAAAATGTTTGTCTTTACAGGACATGGAAGTAAGAGATTAAGGGATTGATAGATTGTCAATGGAGAAGTTGAGAGAAAAAAATAACTTGAAAAGTATGTGATCTTGCTAAAATAAAAATGGGAGTTACCAAGGGGGGAAATAACAATCTTATAAGTCCTAGAAGGAAAGATGACAAAGTAAAAAGACGGTTCACAAAACACTACACTAAAAATAAAGATTGAGTGAGACGAACCCAACCAAAAATAAGGGTTCAATAGTTTCTATGCCACCAGTGGCACTGTAATGTTGCTAATTCAGAGAGAAAAATCCTGTGAGAAATTAATCCTATATTTTTTGAAAGATTCTGCTGTTTATACTTACATCAATTATCCAATAAAATCTTCGGGTTATGACTGTATTAATTCTGAATTGAAAGAAATCAGTTGTTGGTGATACAAACCATATCTCATTTGAACTGATAGAAGATAAAATTGAGAATGGAAATGGGGAATGTGTCAAAGAGACAACAACCCGACCATAGAGCAGACAAGAGAATACATTTAATTCCCAACAAATGCATACTTTCCTTTAATTTGCTATATATAAAATAAACCACAGATCCGTGATTTTCAACAAATCATGGAACTATGAATCCATTAAAATGACACATTATGTTTGTAAACTTATTTTTTTAAATGAGTGATATACTGAACGTAAGTACTTTTAATCATTTCAGGTTGTGTAGATTGGACAGCAAGTAGAACTGACCACAAGACGTATTGACATAGTGTATCTTAATATGAAATCCTGTAGACTTGTGTTTGTTTTATATCGATGTTGGATTTCTCATAGTACTGTACAACTCTCAGCTATATTAAATTTCAATGACAACTTACAACATTGTTTCATTTTTAAATGCAATAGTAAATATTGTAAAACCTGTGATATTCTCATTACTGATACCTATTATCAAAGCAACTTGACCACCAGTAATAATTGGCATTGAACTAATTCTTTGTGGACTGATCTAGCTCACTGAAAAACAACAAATACTTAACAAAAGAATGAATGATCACTGGTCTAATGTAAATGATCCTGATGACATTTAATTTCTCTATACCCACTTTAACCAGCCTTGTCATTCTATTGTTTCTATGGAGGTCGGGATTATAGAGAAAATTTATCATATAAGAAATTATAGTGTCTATGGATTGTCTGTTATCCATCCATCTGGTCAAAAACCTTTTTGAATTCACCATATTGGTACTAAACTGATTTTAATACCATTGTCAAAGCTCAATTCACTATATCAAGAGACCCAACATGCTTCCCTTATTGATACAAATTCTTATATACTAATAACCTTTCACTTAAACCAAGAACTAGAATGCTTTTCCAGTTGATTAGTTTATAGAGGTGAAATCAAACTGCAATTTGGTAAAACATTTAAGCATTTGGTACTGTGAAAGGACAAATCCTTTCAATATGCACTGTAAATATAGAATTATTGGTTTCTTCATAGTGGTCAGTGTATAGATTGCCTATAAATGTATTGATAATCTGGTATAGATATAGCAGTTTAGAGTGTTAGGTGGATAGATATACATGGTATTTCAACATTTAAAGACTAGACTAAGCTTACACAAGTGTTTCAGTCTTTTCTAAAGTATAAAAATAGGCTAATATGCATAAAATTGTTTTATAGAGCAATAGGAGGAAATCTTGTCATATGGGGAGAAAATTCAATTATAAATTTTCCTTTTTATACGACCGCAAAAAATGTTGTATATTGGTATGACGTCTTCGTTGTTGTCAGAAGACGCATTGGTTT